AGCAAAGGTTGGAGTTTAAAGAAGCAGGAAAGATTATTATTGCAGAATATTCCTGAGACTATTGTGGAGGACCCAATAAATCAAACAAATGGGTCATCAAACAGATCAGTGCAGCGTTCCCACTTGAGACACCAATGGCCAGGTTCAAATTATCCTACTTCAGATACACTATGCAGTGACTCAACTTTCTGGAAAAGGCTCTGATGCTGGGAAAGGTGGAAGGAAAGAGAAGATGACATCAGCAAGAAGGATGCACCCAATTACAGCAGCGGCGGGTGCACTGTTAGAAGAGCTGAAGGACTAGGTTAGGAAGAAATTGTCATGGAGAAATTCTACCAATGTGGTAAGTAAGAGTCAACAATGACTTGATGGGACATAGTCAATCAATGAATCAATCAAATTTCGAGTAGTTTCATCTCTACTCTGAATCCAGAGGACAACTGGATGAGCAGAAGTAATAATAATAATAATAATAATAATAATAATAATAATAATAATAATAATAATAATAATAATGTTGGAAGGGACTTTGGAGGTCATCTAGTCCAACCCCCTGCTCGGGCAGGAAACCCTACACCATTTCGGACAAATTGCTGTCCAGTCTCTTCTTAAAAACTTCCAGTGTTGGAGCATTTACTGCTTCTGGAGGCAAGCTGTTCCACTGATTAATTGTTCTAACTGTCAGGAAGTTTCTCCTTAGTTCTAGGTTGCTTCTCTCCTTGATTAGTTTCCATCCGTTGCTTCTTGTCCTGCCTTCAGGCGCTTTGGAGAATAGCTTGACTCCCTCTTCTTTGGGACAGCCCCTGAGATACTGGAAGACTGCTATCATGTCCCCCCTCGTCCTTCTCTTTGTTAAACTGGACATCCCCAATTCCAGCAGCCGCTCCTTATATATTTTAGCCTCCAGTCTCCTGATCATCTTTGTTGCTGTCTCCAAATGTCATCAGGATTTACACCAGTGTTTTTCAACCTTGGCAACTTGAATATGGATTGACATCAACTCTCAGAAATCCCCAGCTTGTACGCCAATATTGAGAAACACTGATCTACACTAGGGCATCCCTCTTGCACAGCTCACATAAGAATTGCCTCCACCCTTTCCTGGGTGCTCTTTTATTTGCTGTGTGAAAACCCATTCTAAGACCCACCTCCTTTCTGTAGAAACGTTGCGAATAGAAACTTGCCTCTCTCTAATTGCAGTCATTTTTCTGACTGTCATCCTAATTCTTGGTTCATCTGTCTTCTGTGTTGTGTAACATCATCTCATCGTCACCTTTTCCTGCCAGAGGAAGATCCAGTTACTCCCCAGGATGTTATCGTCCATGCTCCCCGATCCTCACATACCCGAGGGAAGACTCAGCGTCCACCTTTCTGGAACTCATCTCTTACCTTCGTACTGAATCACGGGGAAACCACCCTGCACCCCGCCGCCCCCACTGCTGGGTGCCACACCCTGATTCAGAAGCAGTCCTAATAAAAGTTATGCTTCCCCCAAAGACTCCTGTGGACTGTGGAGTCCAACTTCAAAAGCAAAACATGAAAAAAACGAACCCTTGACAAATGAACAAGACTGTGATGTCCTTGGTGCTCTCTGTGTGTGGTAGTTTTCTTGGAGACGTTTCATTACCACACTAGGTCACATCATCAAAAGTGAGTAGGGTTTGTTCTTATTTTTATATACTAAATGGCCTGGCCTGCCCATGTTGGTGGGAGTGGTCTTGGTAGTTCCTTGGTTAGTTTGTTTTTTATTGTTAGCTTGTTCGTCTGCATCGGTAGTTCCTTGATTAGGGTATTGTTTACTTGGTCTAGTGCAGGGGTAGGCCACCTTGGCTCTTTTATGATTTGTGGACTTCAACTCCCAGAATTCCTGAGCCAGCATGGCTCAGCTTGGGAAACCTCTTTCCCCTCAGCATGGCTGGCTCAGGAATTCTGGGAGTTGAAGTCCACGAGTCATGAAGGGGCCATAGTTCCCCCATGCTGGCTCAGGAATTCTGGGAGTTGAAGTCCACCAGTCATGAAGGGGCCAAAGTTTCCCTCACGCTGGCTCAGGAATTCTGGGAGTTGAAGTCCACGAGTCATAAAAGAGCCAAGGTTGCCTACCCCTGGTCTAGTGTTACTCTTAGTGTTAATCTCTGCTCATATGGGTGCCGATTGCTGGTGACAAGGCTTTTTGTTTCCTTTTGGTCTTTCTGATTGTCTGAGAGGTATGTCGATTTTATTTATTTCAAAGACAAACAAGGAAATACAATGCTTATTTCTTGTTCTTTTGGCTTGCAAATGGGCAAATTTCCTCCCGAGTCCACTCCTGCTTGCTCCACATGTTGCAACTTCCCCATGGAAAGACCTCTCCATTCCAAATCTGGAGGCTCTTAGGCTTTACACTTTAAGATACGTGATGGTGTCTCCCTCACATTTATCTACAACAGTGGTGGCGAACCTATAGCACGGGTGCCAGAGGCGGCACTCGGAGCCCTCTCTGTGGGCACGCATGCCATTGCCCCAGTCCTAGTCCTTCAGCTGGGTTTTATAAAACCTTTTCGCTTTAGGCCTCCACCGCCGTGTGCAAAAAAAAAAAAAAAGGTTCAATCAATCAGTCAATTTCAACTTCTTGCGGGAAAAAAAAGATCTCGCAAAGTTTGAATTGATTGATTGAACTTTTTAGTCCCACCCAGTCTGCCATTATCACCGCAGCCACGCCCAGCCAATGGGCCACACCCACTCAATTGGCCACACCCACCCAGCATTCGACGATGCATCAGTGGGTTTTGGGTTGCAGTTTGGGCACTCAGTCTCTTAAAGGTTCGTCATCACTGATCTACAAGAAGCAACTGACCACCTTGTTAAGAAATTGGTAACTGTGGAGTCTTCTGGCCTTGGTCATTTGTTTGCAGACATCTCATTACCCAACTAAGCAACATCATCCATACCAGGACGATGTTAGTTAGATTGTGAAATGCCTTCAAGGAACCAATCAGAGTCTGAATCTGAAGATGAATCAGGAGTGGATGCTTGAGCAAACAGCTATTGCCACTGGTAATGGATTATCTTATAACATAGCCTGGGACTTGGGCGCCCCCAATAAAGAATACTTCTCCACTATTATAAGCTAAGTAGAGTTGGACCTAGTTAATATTAGAACTCCCAGAGCTGTGAAGTAGATGGGGAAGTCAAAACAACTTCAACAAGAACAAGGAGCCACTTGCCAGGAAAACAACCAGGATGAATCACAAGAAGTCAAGCTTAACTCAAAGGGAATGTTACTTTATCATCCACCATTGATACGCATTTAGTGATAAGATGGATGGAGGAACAAGGCGCCACCTTCTGGCCAAGTAGTCACATTGCAGGGATACTTCAGAATAGAAGAAAACTTGATTGGGGGCCATTTATAGATTTCAAACTTCACCAGAATATCTGGACAAAAGTATTAGTGCAAAAGTATCCCTGTCCAAGAGGAATGTTTTGTAAGTACAGAAGAGGCAAGACAGGGGCCAGTATGGGCTTTGATGATATTATTATTATTATTATGGATCATCGCACAGTCAGCCAGATGTTCAGACTGGATTTGACATTTTGTCTACCTATCGAGTCCTTACCCAGGACCTGGGATAGGCAGATGTGGATGTTTGATGGTATTACAGGTATCGTCGCAGGATGGAAGCAGTTCCTAGTAAGGCCGCCTTTTGCAATTGACTAATAGCAAATATGTCAATGCCAATGGTGTTCAAGTGGTGCTCCAGTTGTTTTGGGATTGCACCCAAGGCGCTATTATTATTATTATTATTATTATTATTATTATTATTATTATTATTATTAATTAGACATAAACCTCAGTCAACTGAACATTCAAATTGGTTGGTGCTGATGGTTGACACGGGTTGCTACCAGCATTATGGATCATCGCACAGTGAGCCAGATGTTCAGATTGAATTTGGCATTTTTGTCTACCTATCGAGTCCTTACCAAGGACCTGGGATAGGCAGATTATGGATGTTTGATGGTGATATTATTATTATTATTATTATTGCTTTTTTTCTCATAGAACGCCCAGAAAGGAGTTCCGGCATCTTTTTTGGATGGAACCTTGTAGGCAAGGCAGGTTGTATGACATGTGTGAGTTCCAGAACCTTTTTTTTTTTTTTACAAAATAGCACTTATTATTATTATTATTATCTTTTATTCATTAGACATGAACCTCAGTCAACTGACCAGGGGTAGGCAACCTTGACTCTTTTATGACTCATGGACTTCAACTCCCAGAATTCCTGAGCCATCCATTCTGAGGAGAAATGGAGAGGTTTCCATGCTGAGCCATGCTGGCTCAGGAATTCTGGGAGTTGAAGTCCATGAGTCACAAAAGAGCCGAGGTTGCCTACCCCTGGTCTAGTCTAACAAAGAGAAGGACTAGAGGTGACATGACAGTAGGGGGTTCACCTATTCTCCAAAGAACCTGAAAGCAAGACAAGAAGTAATGGGGGGAACGCTCTAACCTAGAACTAAGGAGAAATTTCCTGACAGTGAGAACAATTAACCAATGGAATGGCTTGCCTTCAGAAATTGTGGGTGCTCCATTGTTAGAGGTTTTTAAGAAGAGCCTGGATAACTATTTTTCCTGAGGGTTACAGGATCTCCTGCTTAAGCAGGGGGTTGGGCTAGAAGACCTCCGATACCCCTTCCAACTCTTGTTATTCTGTAGCCCCTCCTTGGAATGGGCTTGCTTCTTCCTGGAAAACTGGCACTTCACTTTTGCCCATCCCACCACCTCCCACTTCATAGACAGGATCCATCACAAATCCTGGGGTGCTACGGGTATTATCTCAATTAGAGATAAATATTACTCCCCAGTTAAATACTTCCCCATGGAGGAAAAGATGTCCTCTCCATCACTTTGGCTCCATCCCTCCAGATTTCAATAGCGACACCAAACCAAGAACAGCTTTCAAGCATCTTGAAAATCTGGTTCTTCCTGAAGCGCAGCCAAAATCAGAAAATCCACCACGACCACTTGAAAATGGAGTTTATTACCATTCTGTAAGTGCTCTGTTATTCTTCTGGCAATCTTATCTTTCCAGGGTAACCCTTCCCCTGCCCATTGTCCAGCGCAATCCAGTCACCGGAGCCAACAAAAACACGTTTTCAGATGAATAGTCATACCTTCTCAGAAACGTCAGATTGGCTCCCTCTACTATAAGCTTTTACTCACTGCAAAACGTCTTGTTTGATAAACTCTGGCTCAGCAAGCCAACGGGTTGATGTCCCTGAGCAATCCTGGCCTATTTGGGAGACTAGCATTGGCTTGCACTACGGGAGTTCCCAAAGACATGAAAATCGGTCTGGAGAACGTTTGAAGGAAGCCGCACTTCTTGGAAGGGCTGCTGACCGCCAACAAATACGGTGAAAGTGCCAGGCTCCAACCACCACTGACCAGCCCATACGGCTCTCTGGCTGAAAGGTAACAGGAAGGCCACCTTGGCAGCTTGTCCCGGGCGTATCGGCAAGCGGCGGAAGCCAACTAGCTGCCAGTGGGGCATAGGCACAGACGCTTGTCCCCAGCGGAGGTAGAGCTGCACCACCTACAGAAGAGAAAAAATGTTAGAAGTGAAGACAAAGTCCTCAAGAGAACGCATCAGTAGATTCTCCACATGTACAAAGCATAGTCCTATTTTTGGAGCATCTTCAAGGATAGGGAGATCTTTTATAAAAACCCTGAATCTACGTGAATGACTGCTGCCTCTTTCATCTACTCAGCTGAAAATTATGGATCATTTTCCTCTCTGCTTGTTGAGATTAGAGACAAGCATCTGTATGATCCAATTTGGAAGGATGCAATGAACAAGATCCGTTTCTTTCTCTCCTCCTCTTTCTAGCAAACCTGGATGCTACGAATCCTGCCAGTGGTGGAAATACGAGAACTACGTAGCTTCTAAGATCCAGAGAAGAGTTATTGCTTTTTAATCCCTGTCTGACTGTGGTTCTCTATCAAATAACAGGCTGCTGTGAATATTCTGCCCTTGGAAGCAAAACCCACTACATCAAAAAGAAATATCGAACATATAAATCAGCTGGATGTGGACAAACATTCCTTATTAGTAATAACAAATAACAATTCATAATTTATTAGTAATATTCTTATCCGTTCCTGTTTCTGCTGCCCTGCAACCTGATCCCTAAAAACTCTTGTTTCAGCCAAGTCAAAACTGGCTCTCCGTTGTCTGTTCAGTGCTGTTCCTCATGGGAGCTGCCAACAAAGACCTGGGGACTGAAAATCAACCACCATTTTGGATTCATAACCCCTGTGAGATGTCACCACCATTTACTTATTTCTTAAAAACCTCTATTCCACCATAAATGGGCCTTATAAATATATACAAATATCCTTAGGATGTTGAACTTTGAAGTCAAGGGCACCGAATTTGTCCATCAGCAGAGATGCTTCCAACTCTTGGCGGTCTTCAACTTGACTCTCCATCCTCACATCCTGGACTTTATGCTAAGAGTTTTCACCCACCTCGAGTAACATCTCACCCTCTTTTATCCCACCCCCTCTGCCCCCACCAGTCTTTGCATGCAGACAAGCAACAGAATGGCCTCACCTCTTCACCATCTCTGGATCCAACGTTCTCCACCACCACAGAGATGCTAAGATTGCCACAAATGGGCACTTGGTCAGCACCCACTACCAGGTCACGGTACTGGAAGGTGGTATATGAGAGTCCGAAGCCAAAGGGGTACAACGGGGTCTCTTTTCCGTAGTAGCGATATGTCCTGCCAATCATTGTGTAGTTCTCTATTGGCGGTACCTATGGTTGAGAGCAAGATTAGCTGAAGGAAATGGAAAGACTTGAAGCTATATGTTTATGGAGATTCTCAGTCCTTCAAAGTCATGGTTGTTTTCAAAGGCAACTGGACTTCGTTTTTCCTTGAAGACGTTTTGTTTCTCATTCAAGGAACTTCTTCATTTCTAGAAATATTAATGTTGGCGATAGAGCTAAAACCAGCACTTTTTTTATTGGGCATAACCATAGAGAAATATGACAAGGGGATAGTCTACTTGATGTTGCACATCTTGACTGCTGCTAGACTGGCGTTTGCACAAAAATGGAAGAACAAAGAAAGTCCCACAGAGGAAGAGATACTATATAAAATACTATTCGTGTGCTGAAATGGACAGGCTCACAATGGAACTGAAGGACAAGAATACTTTGAAATCTGGGACAAATTTTACTATTGGTGGGAATTGAGGAGGACTGTTGGGGTTATAGATTAGCGTTAAGATGGAAATGTGTATAATCTTAGGTTAGTAAATAGAGAAATGAATTAGGTATTGGATAAAAAATACAATATGTACTTATAGAGATAAAGAACTAAATGTAAGAAGAGAAACAATTGGTTAGAAATGTTTATACTGGAATGTTATGTCATGTCCAATCTTTTCTTTTTTTTAACTGTATTATAAATAAAATACTTTAAAAAAAAGAAACATCTTCATTTCTGACTGAATGGTGGAGAACAGAAGGAAGCTTCAAGGAAAAACAAGGTCCAGTTGCCTTTGAAAAAGCATTTTTGGGAAATTTGGGGCTACAGCAAGCAGGATCTAGGAGCGACTTGACGGATTGTCCCCACCCAGCCTTTATCAGTTAACCACCCTTGAGTAACTGCTCTATATTGTCCCAATGTCATCTCATTTCTCTGTAGCTAAGGTTTAATTACCAATTTGTTTTTCCTTGCTTTCATTTTAAATGGTGTTGCAGCATTATTTTGCTGTATATTTTAAAAACACTCTTTTCTATTCAAGGGCGGTTAATGGACTGTAGCTAATCCCCCATTGGAGACCCACAAAAAACTAATTCAATGGGTTGAATCAGCATAAAGTTTTAGTTAAAATTGCCAGCAGCCTTTGTGGAATCTGACATGCTTCAAAGGAAAGACTGCAACAGAATCTGGATCTGGGAAAAGGACACGGCTGAATAGCACATCGGACTTTAATCTTATATGATGTATTTTCTGGCCTATATTTAGAAAAGTCTCCTTCAAGTCAAATCCAATTCTGAAGAACTTCATAGAGTCATCGGTGTGGTTTCCCTGGCAACAATATAGAAATGTACTTTTTTGTTACTGCCTTCTTTCAAGATAATAATAATAATAATAATAGCAAAGTTGGAAGGGACCTTGGAGGTCATCTAGTCCAACCCCCTGCTCGGGCAGGAAACCCTACACCATTTCGGACAAATGGCTGTCCAGTCTCTTCTTAAAAACTTCCAGTGTTGGAGCATTTACTGCTTCTGGAGGCAAGCTTTTCCACTGATTAATTTTTCTCACTGTCAGGAAGTTTCTCCTTAGTTCTAGGTTGCTTCTCTCCTTGATGAGTTTCCACCCGTTGCTTCTGGTCCTGCCTTCAGGTGCTTTGGAAAATAGCTTAAGTCCCTCTTCTTTATGGCAGCCCCTGAGATATTGGAATACTGCTATCATGTCCCCCCTTGTCCTTCTCTTCGTTAAACTAGACATACCCAATATATGACAGTGGTGGCGAACCTCTGGCACCCGTGCCAGAGGCGGCACTCAGAGTCCTCTCTGTGGGCACGCGTACCGTCGCCCCAGCCCCGCCTCCCCCTGCGCCCCCCTCCTCACCAGAAGCCCCCCCCCAGAGGAGAGTCACCCCAAAGCACGGCCCACACGGAGCAGCGCAGCCAAGGACATGGCAGCCGGGCAGCGGGGAGAAGACTCCGCCCTCACGCCCCATCATGCGCAGTTGATGCTGCAGGACACGGGCGGAGGGCATGGCCGCCATGGTGCTGCTGGGCCACCTGGGCGATCTGCGGCGGGCCATAGAGGCGGTGAGTGGCCCTGCGGGTGGGTGGGGTGGGGGCGGAGCAGGCAGGATGGCGGAGTATTGGTGGGTGGGGGAGCAGGGCAGGGCTAGTTTTTGGGCACTCAGTCTCTAAAAGGTTCGCCATCACTGATATATGAGTTCCCAGTTTATTCTGCCACTCTTTGCTGATCTCCCATTCATCTGAATCTGCTATGCTCTTTTGAGATCAGCCAAAGTGATCAAGGGATCTGTTTCAGCTTTGTCCACTTTGAAAAAGCCCAGCAGATTACACTTGGACTGGGGGGTTCCTGGAACATTTTGGAGACTTTTGAGAATGGCCCTATGACTGTGCAAATTTGCTCCGCTTACATGGTCATTCCAAGAAATGCTAGCATTCTGGTTAGGAGGATTCCCACAACTCTTTTCTCTCGGGTTCACTGTCTAATAGACCTGGGTGCAGTGGCCGCTATATTTAGACATTACACATTTGTATTGTCTTATGGTGGGTCTTTTATTTCTGATATGCAGGTTGTTTTTCTGATTTTTATTGTGTTGATTTCCAGTAGGGAGATGTCTAGAGCAGCGGTTCTCAACCTATGGGTCGCGACCCTATTTGGGGTCGAACGACTATTTTACGGGGGTCGCCAAACAACGCGATCTGCCATTTATCCCCCTCAGGGGGCAGCGCTGCGCATGGGGGCCGCGCATGGGGGCCGCGCCACGCATGGGCGCCACGCGTGGGGGCCACGCCGCGCATGCGTGCCGTACGTGCATGCGCGGCACGTCCGTGTGACCAGGGGTCGCCATATAAAAAGGTTGAGAACCACTGGTCTAGAGGCTGATGAATGGAGTGGCATATCAGTAAAAATAAATAAAATAAAAATAAAAATAATAAAATAAAATAATTAATAAAATAAAAATAATAAAATAAAATAATTAATAAAATAAAAATAATAAAATAATACTGTGTTGATTTCCAGTAGGGAGATGTCTAGAGGTTTATGAATGCAGTGGCACATCAGTGAAAATAAATAAAATAAAAATAAAATAATAAAATAAAATAAAAATAATAAAATAAAATAATTAATAAAATAAAAATAATAAAATAATACTGTGTTGATTTCCAGTAAGGAGATGTCTAGAGGCTTATGAATGGAGTGGCACATCAGTGAAAATAAATAAAAATAAAATAATTAATAAAATAAAATAAAAATAATAAAATAATTAATAAAATAAAGTCAAATAAAATACTTTTTGTTTATGTACCATCAAACACTTTTCTGCATAAAATTAAGTTATTGAGATGGTCTTTGATTTACGGCCATTTGTTTAGCAACCATCTGAACTTACGACCATCCTGAAAAAAGTGACTTACGACTAATCAGTGCGTTTACACCATCGCGCCCCTACCGTCCTGCGATTGCAATTTTATGCGCGTGGCAACCGACATGTATTTATGAAAGTTGCAGCATCCTGGAGTTACTTACTCGCCCTTTGCAACCTTCCCAGCCAGCTTCCGACAAGCAAAGTCAATAGGGAGAACCTGGATTTGCTTAACGCTATGAAAAAAATGGAGGTAAAATCGGATGCAGTGAGGACTCACTTGATGACCGCAACCGAAGTTCCAGACCCAACTGTGGTCATAGATTGAGGACTACCTGTAGGGTTTTTTTTTCCCCCTTAAGGGAGGGAAGATTCAGCTATTCTTCCCTTTCAGCTGCTACAGTCCCGGAAAGAGGCACCGTTATCCACCCCAGCCATACCTGGTGCATTCCTGCTGGCCACGTAGCAGGCAACCTGCCAGCGGGATTTGCCCCTTCAGCGCCCACCAGCATCTTGGCCACAGCCAGCCCTGTGGTCTCAGCAGGAAAGAAACAAGCCACGATTGCCCCCACGGCATCCTCGTCCTTGGCCCAGCTTATATCCAGCGGGCCAGCGTTGAACAGGAGCAGAACCACAGGGCGGCCAGCGGCTGAAATGAAAGGCCCACTCAGCTCATGAGGAGGCAAGTTGCAATCCATGCATGCCTCAAACATGATACTCTCCAGATACACGGATTATTGTACCCCTCAGCCCCAGCCATCATGCAGAGGGAGAGCCAAAGACTGCTGACCCTGGGAACTTCCGATCTCCACCGAGTTCTTAATGCTTTATAATAATAATAATAATAGTAATAATAATAAGAGTAGTAGTAGTAGTAGTAAAGTTGGAAGGGACCTTGGAGGTCATCTAGTCCAACCCCCTGCTCAGGCAGGAAACCCTATACCATTTGGGACAAATGGCTGTCCAGTCTCTTCTTAAAAACTTCCAGTGTTGGAGCATTCACAACTTCTGGAGGCAGGTTGTTCCACTGGTTAATTGTTCTCACTGTCAGGAAGTTTCTCTGTAGTTCTAGGTTGCTTCTCTCCTTGATTAGTTTCCATCCGTTGCGTCTTGTCCTGCCTTCAGGCGCTTTGGAAAAGCAGCAGAGGGCATGCTTTCTATGAATAAGATCCACGAATGGTAGTAGCAGATACAGGTAACTTACAGGTAACTTAGAGGTGATCAACTCAGAGTTGATCTTAGTCTTGCCTTTCCAATCCTGGAATCCCTCTGATCCCAAGATCATGCAGCTAATATCTGGGAGTAAACCCCCAATCATTATGATGTAAGATTCTGCCTTTTTGGGACCAAGGAGGTATGAAATAGGAATCATGCAATGATTTTTCTAAAACAACAATTTATCAACATTAACAATATTAAGAAGTTTATAACTGAAGTCCCCAACCTTTTGGGCACCAGGGACCAGTTCCATGGAGAGAGGTTTTTCCGCGGACCGGAGGGTGTGTAGTTTTCTGTGCTGTCTGCATCCCGTAGATGGGGCTTTGCTTGTTTGTGCGGACCGGTTGCTGGCATGTCGCGGCCCAGTACCGGTCCATAGACCGAGGGTTGGGGACCCTTGGTTTATAATACTGGTTGAATAAAGTTCAACTCCTACTAACTACAGGGGCAGTATCCACGTAGTTTCCTTATAGCAGCAATTCTCAGATTGTTCAGCTCCACATTCTACCTTACAGCCCTAGAATCTCTCTGGGGTCTCCCACCCAAGAACTAACCTGGTCTGATCCTGCTTAGCTTTTCAAGATCAGCCAAGTTCCACTAGGTGCTACCATCCAGCTGTGCCATAATAATTCCACTGGACCGTAAAATGTGATCCAAGAAGCCAAAATGATGGCCCCATCTCTTTTAATGATGTCACTAGGTCATCTCCAGGCTTCTTAAATAGTCCTGCTTTGGGGAAAGAGACAAACACACTCACCCCAGGCCACAGAAGACTGCAGAAGGTCCATTTGATGTGTGGGCAAAGACAAATTCTTGCGATCATTGGATTCAGATTCCAGATCAGCTCCTGAGAGGAAGGAACAGAGAGCGTGTGAAAAAGATCGTTTTGCTGCTTTTACTTTCCAGGGCTATCCAATCTCTATGGGTGGGAACTTTTTCTAGGAAGTGGGGGGGGGGAGAGATTTTCTCCCTGTTGTCTATGGAAATTCTCAATCATCATCCATGTCATGGTTGTCCTAAAGGTAGTTTTCCAAAAGGCAACTGGACTTTCTTATTTTTTTTTTCTCTTTGAAAATATTTTGCTTCTCATCAGCTTCTTCAGTTCTTCAGTCCTTTAAGGCAAAGGTCTCCAACCCCTGGGGCCCGGTCCACTACTGGGCTGTGAGCCATTCAGAACCGGGCTGCAGAAGTGGCATGCATGCATACGCATGCATCCCACTTGCATGAGCAGCGAACAAACACGTGTGCATGTATCCCCACCTGCACGAACAGCCGGCGTACATGCCCGCTGCTCGTACAAATGGAACTGCCTGCATACGTGTGTGTGCACTTGCTGGCTGCTCACATGGAACCGTCCCCCTACCCCCGCTGATCCATAAAGCCAGATAGGTTGGGAAACTCTGCTTTAGGGCAACTGGGCTTTCTGATTTTTCTTAAAAGGATATGCAGGTTCTGAGGTTTTGCTTGATAAAAAATACAGGAAACCGGAAGTGTTTATTCAGCTAAGCCAGGGGTAGGCAACCTTGGCTCTTTTATGACTCGTGGACTTCAACTCCCAGAATTCCTGAGCCAGCCATGCTCAGGAATTCTGGGAGTTGAAGTCCATGAGTCATAAAAGAGCCAAGGTTGCCTACCCCTGAGCTAAGCAAAGATGGGCTTCTCTAAAAAAGAGAAAAGCCACAAATTCCAAAAAAGCCTTATTTTTATACCTACTTTGATTACATAAGCAATTCACCCAGCAACGCTGACACACATAAGATAGAGACTTCGCTCGTTAAGGCTGGCACACTGTAGATAAGAAGGAAGAAAGCAGAAGTAGCTAATATGTTCCCTTTTGGGTGGTTTGGGTCTTACCCCAAGGGACCATATGTTCCCGGGTGGGTTAGATTATTGGGTGTTTCCTTAGTTGTCCTTTCATGACCTTGCAGTCATGGGTCTGCATGTGGCCAGAAAGAGCAGGGCCATCAGCACGTATTCACTGTCCCCTAAGTCCAGGTCAACATAATGCGTTAAAAAAATCAGAAAGTCCAGTTGCAAACCAAGATCATGGCATCTGGCCCTCTCAATTCCTGGCAAATAGATGGGGAAGAAATGGAGGCAGTGACAGATTTTATCTTCCTGGGCTCCAAGATCGCCGCAGATGGGGACTGCAGCCAAGAAATTAAAAGACACTTGCTCCTGGGGAGGAAAGCTATGGCAAATCTAGACAGCATACTAAAAAGCAGAGACATCACCCTGTCAACAAAAGTGCGTATAGTCCAGGTCATGGTTTTCCCAGTTGCAATGTATGGCTGTGAAAGTTGGACCATAAGAAAGGCTGAGCGCCAAAGAATGGAGGCCTTTGAACTCTGGTGCTGGAGAAGACTCCTGCGAGTCCCTTGGACTGCAAGACGATCCAACCGGTCGGTCCTAGAGGAGATCGACCCCGATTGCTCTTGAAAAGCCCAGATCCTGAAGTTGAAACTCAAATACTTTGGCCACCTAATGAGAAGGAAGGACTCATTGGAGAAGAGCCCAATGCTGGGAAAGATTGAGGGCAATAGAAGAAGGGGATGACAGAGAATGAGGTGGCTGGATGGAGTCATTGAAGCAGCAGGCGTGAGCTTCAATGGACTCCAGAAGATGGTAGAGGACAGGAAGGCCTGGAGGAACATTGTCCATGGGGTCATGATGGGTTGGACACGACTTCGCAACTAACAACAACAGAAGAGATGACCATGACCACAATGAAAATAGTCAGAGATCTCTCTGCCCACAGAAGGAACAGGGACGGAGAAAGCATCTTAGAAGGGACACTCGCTAATTCTCTGGAAAGTCAAGGGAAGGGAAGGGAAGGCAGAAAGGCTTGCAGGCTTGCATGATTCCGTTACTATAATCTTACATTTCTTGAAGGACTGACGGAAAACCTGTGTTTTTAGGCACAACTCTTACCTGTCCCAAGGCACACAATCGCAACGTCTGCTCCTTCGATTGCAGCTTTCACATCTTTGGGATTATACTGGAGACACCTCGGATTCTCACATCCAAGAGCAGAGGTGACATTTGCTGAGATAGCTGCTAAGCCCCTCCTGCACCAGCCAGATACAAGAGTAGGTCCTTAGCTTCTCAGCAGTAGCAGTAGCAAGAGCACTTAGAGCAATGGTTCTCAACCTGTGGGTCGGGAGCCCATTTGGGGTCAAACGACCATTTCACGGGGGTCGCCAAACAATGCAGTCCGCCATTTTTTCCCCCTTTTCCTTAGCTGTGCTCCTCCCTTTGATTCTATTGGCTTTGGAAAGCCAATAGAATAGACTCTCTTGAATAGAGTCTAATTCTATTGGCTTTCAAAAGCCAATAGGAATTGTCCAGGCTGTCTCTGCCCTGCTGAGCCCCCCAAAAGTCCCATTCTGCAAGCGGTGCGGCACCAGTTGAGTAGTCCTCGACTTACGACCAGTTGAGTAGTCCTAGACTTACGACCGGTTGGGGGTCGTGGCATTAAAAAGATTGAGAACCACTGACTTAGATTTATATACTGTTTCACGGTGCTTTCCAGCCCTCTCTAAGCGATTTACAGAATCATCTCTACCCGTGACACAGTGTTCCCTCCTGACGCCAAGAACAGGTCTGATAGGTTTGGGCCAATGCATCACAAGTGCAACCACAATCCTACTTTATTTCAAGCACGTCCGTACTATTAAATGGAAACAAGGATCTCAAATCTTCAGACGGCCTTTGCAAAGCAGCCATACTGAGGCCTGCAGTGCGGTGACACACAGTTATCTTTTTAAAATATAAGGGATTCATGCAAAATGGAGACTTGCTTTAACCAAGCATGCGGGTAAGAAATGAAGTCAATGAACAAAAGTAGCCACTACAATGAAGCAGAACACAAGTGTGGTAACATACAAGAAGCTGGAATAAAAGATGCTGAGCTCTTAAGCATACTAAACTGCAGCACACAGTCCATGGGAATCCAAGGACTGCCTTAGTTTAGGATGCAGGCCATCATGGTTTTGTTGCTCGCTCATTGCAAGTAATAGCAATAGCACTTAGACTTATATGCTGCTTCATAGTCCTTTACAACCCTCTCTAAGCGGTTTACAGCATCACCATATTGCCCTCAACAATCTGGGTCCTCATTTTACCTACCTCGGAAGGATGGAAGGTTGAGTCAACCTTGAGCCGGTGAGATTTGAACTGCCGAACTGCTGGCAGTTGGCAGTCAGCAGAAGTAGCCTGCAGTACTGCATTTTAACCACTGCGCCATCACGACTAGTAGAAGTCACAAAGCTCAGAAGGATCTCATCTTCAGAACCTTGACTTGTGAAACTGGATCAACCAACCCTGGGAATGTCCTTCCTAAGTCCCACCACATTATAAGGTACATTTGAAGTAGCTACAACCAGCAGAATACCCAAATTAGTGGCTGAACTGCAGTTGGCCTCATAGTTGAGTGTAACGAGAAGGAACAACCGTGAGGAACAAGAGGAAGAGCCACAATCAAGGCAACACTCAACACAAATCTCACACTTGACAATCAGATGGGGGTGGCACATCAATTTTATAAATATAATAATAATAATAATAATAATAATCGATCATCGCACAGTCAGCCAGATGTTCAGACTGGATTTGGCATTTTGTCTACCTATCGAGTCCTTACCCAGGACCTGGGATAGGCAGATGTGGATGTTTGATAGTATTACAGATATCGTTGCAGGATGGAAGCAGTTCCTAGTAAGGCCGCCTTTTGCAATTGACTAATCACTGTGTATCTGCGACGGCTAAACACCTTTTCTTCCAGTAATTCTGCAGCTGCTGGCCCTGGTTGCTCAGCCAAGAGTCCTGAGTCCTGTAACCCATTTTTCACCAGATATCCAGGAACTCCAATATCTAGCGCGGACCTTGTTAACCCGGGCGACGTCCGAGCCGGTATGGCATTCTGCAATTTACGTCTCACCATATTTTTTTATGGGAGAGACACTCTTTGTCTGACTCCTCTGATGAGACCTGTCCAGTATGGTTGAACCTCTGGCATAACTCTCATCTTCCTCAGAGTACACAAGCCCCACAACCACGTCAAGGTAGTGCCTCACTGGGGGCTAATAATAATAATAATAATAATAATAATTATTATTATTATTATTATTAGTAGTAGTAGTAGTAGTAGTAGTAGTAGTAGTCCGGGGTGTTAGAACCTGCAACATAACACCCCGGACTTAACACTTGTTGATAAGAAAGACAAAAAAGTCTGGATAGTGGACGCGACAGAGCCTGGAGACAGCAGAATAGATGAGAAAGAACTGGAGAAGATAACAAAATACAAAGTCCTACAAATAGAAATAGAAAGACTGTGTCAAAAGCAAGCAAGGGTAGTACCAATAGTGATAGGCTCCTTGGGTGCAATCCCAAAACAACTGGAGCACCACTTGAACACCATTGGCATTGACAAATTCGCTATTAGTCAATTGCAAAAGGCGACCTTATTAGGAACTGCTTCCATCCTGCGACGATATCTGTAATACCATCAAACACCCACATCTGCCTATCCCAGGTCCTTCGTAAGGACTCGATAGGTAGACAAAAATGCCAAATCCAGTCTGAACATCTGGCTGAGTGTGCGATGATCCATAATAATAATAATAATTCACACCAGCTGTAGAAAAGCTGAGAAGAAGTCTAGAGGGGAGCTCAGATCTAATACCATCATGCCACAGCAGTCACCCAAAAACCTGTTTGGGGGCAGAGAGGATTGTTGGCCTTACCTGGGTGTATAAATGTATTGGGGGTCAGGGACTGGTGCATAATCCCCAAAGAGGAGATTAGCCTTGTCTGCAAAGGGTCCGACCACCTGCCAGAAAGAATAAGGGGAAGTAGAAGAGATGTTGTTTCTTGGAGGAAGATGAAGTTAGTCGCCATCAAGGTTTCTGAGACTGACTTTTTGATTGATCCCCCCCCTATTTTAGAAGTGAATTTAACAATCAAACTAAAATCCACAGCAGTTTGTTTATGTTTTAGTTTTGTGAATCAGTATAACCTATGCTAGTTATCACCTTGTAGCCTAGAACCATTGTTTCTCATGGTGTCTGCTCCTTCCCAGCAGGGTGATACTGCTCCAGGAGCCTTCAAACAATGCCACCTAGAAAGGAGGACTTCTGGGTCACAGCACCCGCCCCTGAAGAAGCAACCCCAAAACTTGGCCAGTCTGGACCTTCAGCAGGATCTCAAAAATTTCCTTCCATCCTTCCTTCCTTCCCTCCCTCCTTCCTATATCACTTAATAATAAAATTGGAAGGGACCTTGGAGATCATCTAGTCCAGTGGTTCTCAACCTGTGGGTCGGGACCCCATTTGGGGTCGAATGACCATTTCACGGGGGTCGCCAAACAAGGCTGTCCACCATTTCCCCCCCCCCTTTTCTTTGGCCACGCCCCTGGCACCCGGTGATGTATAAGTGGTTGGGGGTCACCACAATATGGGGAACTGTATTATGGGGTCGCGGCATTAGAAAGGTTGAGAACCACTGATCTAGTCCAACCCCCTGCTCAAGCAGGAAACCCTACACCATTTCGGACAAATGGCCATCCAGTCTCTTCTTAAAAACTTCCAGTATTGGAGCATTCACCGCTTCTGGAGGCAGGTTGTTCCACTGGTTAATTGTTCTGACTGTGAGGACATTTCTCCGTAGTTCTAGGTTGCTTCTCTCCTTGATTAGTTTCCATCTGTTGCTTCTTGTCCTGCCTTCAGACACTTTGGAGAATAGCTTGACTCCCTCTTCTTTGTGGCAGCCCCTGAGACATTGGAACCCTGCTGTCATGTCACCCCTGTCCTTCTCTTCATATCAATCATTGTTACTGTTGTATTGCTTTTGCTTTCAATTTGTTTCATTTTTTCAGACCTTTATTTTTATAAACCCCCTCCCATATATCTTTTCCTATCCCAGTCTCAATCTGCGCGCGTGCACACACACACACACACACACACTACATGTTTATTCCCACCCCCCTTTGTGGCTGTATCACCAACCTTATTTTTTTTAATTAGAAACCTAATCTCTAACAAAATACCCAGAAACACATCAAGGAATGAAGTCACAAAACTGTTCATGCCGATCTCTATTCCTGGTCCTCAACTCCCATCCACCACCCCAGTAAGATTCTTCTTCAGCAGCCTCATCTAAGAGAGCTTCTGCAGGGGACAGGACCCACCCAACTTTAGCTGACCTTGAAAGTCCAAATAGGACTGGACCAGCTTAAACAGATGGTTCCCCACTGGGAGACTTCAAAGCTGGTCTGAAAATCAAAAAACCCTGCATGAATGTGCCCACGTAGACCCCCAAAATTGACGTAAGACAGTCTTTGTCCTTCCATTAATTTCAAATTATTATTATTGAGTTGTGACATGTTTTGGGAGCCAAACGGTGTTGCTGATCTGTTGTGAAACTTCTAGAAGTCAAACTGGACAATCTGGGCAACGTTTGCTCAGTCATGTTCACAGACATGTCAATCTCCCCATGAATATGTCCCAGGAGAGAATACCCACCGTTACTGCAATCCTACCAAGAGCAAGCTGATTTTGCAAACGCCCCTCGGTGGACACTTACCGCAATGGTCTTGTGCAGTAGATCTTCTGCTTTGAAAGGTAGCATTTCGTTCCGGTTTTTTAGCAACACAAAAGTCTGGAGGGCGGCTTTGAGGGCCAGACTGTGGTGGGCTTTTGACTGTATAACCTCAGCCCCCAGTGCATTATAGGGGTTCATGGCTGGTGGGTCAAATTCACCCAGGCGCAGACGAGTGAGGAAAAGGGGGCGGACACGATCCCGGATCATCTGCAGGAAGCAGGGAGAAGCAGAGGCTTTAAGTAAAGGAATTACTGTCCTACCAGCATTTATATATCTTAAAATGACTCCTCACGTTTTCCTACTGCAGTGATGGCGAACCTTTTAGAGAGCCAATGCCCAAACTGCAACCCAAAATTCACTTATTTATCACCAGGTACCGGGTGGGCATAGCCACGGTGGTCATGGCAGACTGGGTGGGCGGGGCCAGAGCGGCAGGAGCCAGTCCCTCGCCATCTCCGGGGCATGGCACGCGTGCCATAGGTTCTCCACCACTGTCCTATTGTATCCCTCCAAGATGCACAAGTTCATTTACTTGCTTTGTTGTGGGGTTTTGGGGGGGCATTGGTGCATAGCCTGCAACCATTCATTCCATTTTTCTTATTATGCATTACTTTGGATACTCCCCGTTGCATCGTACAATCTATTTGACATTCACTGCAAATCACTCCAGTTCTTAGCCAACCATATGGCATCACCTGAATTAAAAGTGTGCTTACACGCATACCCTAAACAGCAAATTCTAACATTAACACAAGCCTTCCTTTTCATCGTATCCATTGCTTTTCCCACACCATTCCACAAAGCCTCCACTGCACATTTAGGTGGCACTCTTCTCCCTTGTTCCAAGCAGTTTCCACCTTGCCTTTCCTTACTTCCACTTTCCTTTCATTCACACTAAGGACTGCCTTAGTATAGGATGCAGTCCATCATGGTTTTGTTGCTCGCTCATTGTAAATAATAGCAATAGCACTTAAGACTTATATATTGCTTCATAGTGCTTTACAACCTTCTCTAAGCAGTTTACAGCGTCAACATATTGCCCTGGACAATCTGAATCCTCATTTTACCGACCTCGGAAGGACAGAAGGCTGAGTCAACCTTGATTCAGTGAGAATCGAACTCCTGGCAATGGGCAGTCAGCCTGCAATACTGCTTTCTCACCACTGCATCACCACAACTCATAACGACTGTTTGTTAAGTAGTCATGAAGTAATGACTACTTAGCAGTTCCAGGGTTTACGGTTGAACACGTTGCGCGAATGCTGCTAGGGAATAACAAGTCCAAAACCTGGAGTTGGAGGGAAACAGCAAGGATTATCTTGTCCTCTATAACATTGCTGAATATTGCCCATCTAACTTTTATTGATTAAAGTTCCAACTGAAGATGAGTCTAACTCTTTCCATGAGACTCAAACACCTGATATTTTGCTCACATTATATCCCTACTTTGTAATATGAATCTATCGTGGTGGAATCCCACTTGGTCTTTCTTCTTCAAGGAGATGCTCCTTAGAGCCATGCCTTTGTTGCTGAACTACCACCCCCAGCAATCCCATTTAATAATATAATAAATTGCAAAGCATGCTGGAGGTTGTAGTTGAGCAACATTTGGAAGAGCCCTGGATTCCCTGCTTTTCTTCACTCATTTGGAAAAGAGACATTATCACATCCTGACATGTCTGCTCTGGAACTGGTAGCTCTTTCTTCTACTTCAAGGAGATGGACCACTTACTTCCAAAGAAATGTTCCCCTTGCTAAGGGCTTCGGCTATGTGCATGTAAACATTATTCTTCATCCCGTAAGAAAGCTCTAGATTACATCCGGCGTTCACAGCCACTGCAGGGAGAAAAAAGGATAGCACCGTTAGTCCAAAAAGTCAGTGAAACATTGGCTTCAATTCATGTTTGTCTGCAAGCCATGGGTTGGCTCTCTGTTTGAGGAGACAAACAGTCTGCCAATAGTGTGCCATCCTGAGCAAGTGAATAGCAACAGCAATAGCACTTAAGACTTATATACTGCTTCACAGTGCTTTACAGCTGGCAACGTGGGTTCGAGACCCGAGCGCTGTGCAACGGGTTGAGCTCCTGTTACTTTCTTAGAACTAAGGAGAAACTTCCTGACAGAACAATTAACCAATGGAACAACCTGCCTCCAGAAGCGGTGAATGCTCCAACACTGGAAGTTTTTAAGAAGAGACTGGACAGCCATTTGTCTGAAATGGTGTAGGGTTCCTGCCTGAGCAGGGGGTTAGATTCGATGACCTCCAAGGTCCCTTCCAACTTTATTATTATTATTATCATTATTTTGGATCATCGCACAGTCAGCCAGATGTTCAGACTGGATTTGGCATTTTGTCTACCTATCGAGTCCTTACCCAGGACCTGGGATAGGCAGATGTGGGTGTTTGATGGTATTACAGATATCGTCGCAGGATGGAAGCAGTTCCTAGTAAGACCGCCTTTTGCAATTGACTAATAGCGAATTTGTCAATGCCAATTGTGTTCAACTGGTGCTCCAGTTGTTTTGGGATTGCACCCAAGGAGCCTATGACTATTGGTACTACCCTTGCTTGCTTTTGCCACAGTCTTTCTATTTCTATTTGTAGGTCTTTGTATTTTGTTATCTTCTCCAGTTCTTTCTCCACGTCCACTATCCAGACTTTCTTGTCTTTCTTATCAACAATTGTTAAGTGTGGCTTCATGTGCCTTGGCGTATTGTCATGCTGGCCACATGCCCACATGCCCAACGCTGGCTCCCTCAGCTAAAAAAAAATGGAGATGAGCACTGTGGCCAGGCCTCGCAGGGCACGACATTTGGCCTTTATATGTGATAATTACAGACATGGAGTTTTTGGTGGATTTGGGAGGGAAAATAGTGCTTGGATAATGGAAATTAAGTACAGACGGAAACAAATCTGGGTTCCCGGGTAGAAGGTTAGCCTCAGAGCAACGCTAGTAGGACTCTCAAAACTCAATCGGCAAACGAAGGTAGGTTGTGAGGAGCTTCCAGCATGGAGATGAGAAGAGCCATATTTTGCAACACTCACCTATTGCAGTCTCCAGGAAACTTTGCGTGTAGCGGTGCCCAACCATGATCAACTCCACGGCACCTTCATCGCTCACCACATAACCCTGGAAGCCCCATTCATTTCGGAGGATGTCTGTCAACAGCTTCTTGTTAGCACAGGCCGGGACTCCATTAATTCTGCCAGATGAACCAAGGCTGGTTAGCAGGTTTACAAGCATGACCTCTTTGGGATCTTCCCTGCTCTGGGAAGAGCCAGTTTGGTCTAGTGGTTAAGGCACCAGGCAAAAAGCAGGAGACAGTGAGTTCTAGTCCCGCCTTAGCCATGAAAATCAAATGAGTGACTTTGGGCCAATCACCAGGAGACTGTGAGTTCTAGTTCCGCCTTAGCCATGAAAGCCAGCTGGGTGACTTTGGGTCAGTCCATCTGTCTCAGCCCAACCAACCTCATAGGGTTGTCGTTGTGGGTAAAATAGGAGGAGGAAGATGTGTTGGATATGTCGGTTGCCTCAAGTTATTTCTAAAAATAATACAGGCAGGATAAAAATGAAAATAAAAATAAATAAAATAATAATAAAACAAAACAAAATAAAATAAACAAAAGAAATAAAAAATAAAATAAATAAAACAAAACAAAAAATAAATAAAAAATAAAATAAAATAATAAAATAAAAGAAATAAAAAATAAAATATAAAATAAAATAAATAAAAAATAAATAAAATAATAATAAAACAAAACAAAAATTAAAATAATAAAATTAAATTAAAATTAAAATAAATAAAATAATAAAACAAAAAATAAAACAAAACAAAATAAAAAATAAAATAAAACAAAACAAAACATAAAATAATAAAATAAAATGAAATAAAAGTTAAAATAAATAAAATAATAAAACAATAAAATAAAATGAAATAAAAGTTAAAATAAATAAAATAATAATAAAACAATAAAATAAAATGAAATGAAATAAAATAAAACAAAATAAAAATACCTGTTATAGCTGCACATGAAGCTGAATGTCCCGGCTCGCACGCAGGCCTCAAACTGAGGCAGGAAAGTCATGCGCCAATCACGTTCTTCCACCTGTCACAAAACGTACCACCATGTCCTCAGTGTATTGCCAGCCCATTCAGCCTGGCTTGTGAAACTCTTCCCAAATCAATGCTGCCTTCTCTCCTTTTATTATGGGTAGTCCTCCGACTTATGACTGGTTGCATACGATCACTGCCAAAAAGCTTGTAAAATTGAGGAACCCCCCCCGGGGGGGTGCTTACAGCCTGGTTCAGAAGTTCCAACGACTGCAAGCCCTCCCTCACAGCCATATGTCAGGTGCTTAACAACCAGCTGGCATTTACGGTCGTTTGCATCCTCCTGTGTTCACATGACCACATTTTACAATGGTTTTGACAGACATGGCGCTTCCTTCCGGTTTTCAGCAAAACCAGCCCATAGCAAACAATTGGTTCACTTGACAGCAGTGGCCTTGGCCTAACGACTACCACAAAAAAAGTCATAAAATTGGGTCAGTCAAATGGGTAACCTGCATTACCACCATCATGACTTACTGCCGTAATGAGCAGGCTCCATTATGATGGTAAGTTAAGTAACTCTTGGTAAATATCTTAAAGTTCATAACTATCCTGTGAGGTCTCCTTGTTCGCTCCTCATTGTAACCCAAGCCAGAACTTACGCATGTTGAGGGTTCATTTCATATTCTGGTTTGTGCTAATAGGAGATATTGGTTGACCAGATTTCCCCCAAACCCATACACTGTTAAGCTGTTGGGACGAAAATAAATGAGCTAGAGAAACTGGTAGGAAGGAGGTACCCCAACTCCGAAACCCACCTGGAGAGAAGCTCCACCTCTGATCCATTTTCACTGACCTTGGCATCAAACAAAAAACGGGATACAGGGATATTCTCAGGACCCCCATGGACATCAAAATGCTTGCAGCCGGCATTAGTTTTGACGTAGCGGGGATGGTCACCCTGCAGCCCCTTCACAAATGCAATTCCCAGCTGGGTGGTCAAGAATGGGTCCTCCCCATAAGTCTCCTAAAGAGTGGAAAAATAAGCAAATTGGTCGGCTCAACCCTATTTTTCCCCACCCCGTTTTTATTTCCGTTAATGACAAGCATAAAACGAGACCAATCAGGCAAAGAAATGAAAAGAATTACAAAGCAGAAAGATGCACCAAAACATTGAGATTCTTAAATAATTGATGTCTAACATAGGAAGGTATTAATACTGTAATCCCGAACCTACAACCTATAATGAAATACAGAATATTATTAGCCTTAAAACTGTAAAATTAAAGCTAATACCCATGATCAAAAGAGAAACAAAGGCTCTGATCACGGACTCACTCATTTCTACTTCTGGTTATTCCATTTCTGAAAGTAAGAATCTAGCCCAGTGTTTCTCAACCTTGACAATTTTAAGGCATGTGGACTTCAAACTCCCAGAATTCCACAGCCAGCAATGCAGTTCCTTGGGTCCTCCTTAAATTTCTGCAGGTACAAGTATCTCAAGATTTGCTTTGACCTAATTTGGGAGCTCCTTTTTTTAACTCAGGCGACTCTTGTGGCCAAGGCTAGGAATATCTGTAACCTCTAAAGTGTGTATAGTCAAGGCCATGGTTTTCCCAGTTGCAATGTATGGCTGTGAAAGTTGGACCCTAAGAAAGGCTGAGTGCCAAAGAATGGAGGCCTTTGAACTATGGTGCTGGAGAAGACTCCTGCGAGTCCCCTGGACTGCAAGGCGATCCAACCGGTCAGTCCTAGAGGAGATCAATCCCAACTGCTCTTTAGAAGGCCAGATCCTGAAGTTGAAACTCAAGTACTTTGGCCACCTAATGAGAAGGAAGGACTCATTGGAGAAGAGCCTGATGCTGGGAAAGATGGAGGGCAAGAGAAGAAGGGGACGACAGAGAAGGAGGTGGCTGGATGGAGTCACTGAAGCAGAAGGCGTGAGCTTAAATGGACTCCAGAAGATGGTAGAGGACAGGAAGGCCTGGAGGAACATTGTCCATGGGGTTGCAATGGGTTGGACATGACTTCGCAACTAACAACAAAAGTAATCCCTGTTGAGATTTAAGAATCAGTTATTGTTCTTCACAACTTTGGAGACACTCAACAGTAGTTGCATTTCAGAGGACTTTTCTTGGGACAATTAAAGCCGTTACGTTTTCCCTGATCTGGGAGTTTCCAGGGGCGATGGAATCAATCCTTACCCTCCCCATTCATGCTCCTAAATCATGGATACCTGGTTCCTGCCCCAGAGTGGGTGCCGCATAATGTTCAAGACTGGGCTGAAGCAGCTTAAGCCAGTATGGTCATTATAATAGCCAACGGATTCAAAATAGTTGTGCTTGGCGCGAACCTCAGTGGCCGTAGCGTTGGCCACTTCGAAGATGAGTTGAGGACTGTTCAAAGACATAAGGAGGGTTGAAGAGAAAAGGATTCTGTAAACTGCCATGAAATAAGGTCACTCCAAACACGCTTGGCCGTGCTAGGCCATCATCCTGTACAGATGAGGTCCCAGTTCTCTGCAGGGCCACAACAAAGCTTCTAGAGATCCATAACCCAAGTCCCAACTGTGTATTTTGCATCAGTGACATCACTTGCAAATAGCGTGCAGCACATCGTTTACATGATTTGCATGGTGATGTCACGGCACAGGGGACATCATTCTCACCCCCCTCCGGTCTTTTTTTTTTCTTAATAAATTTAATAATCTTTTTTTAGTGAGATAAAAACAGTACAAATATTGGGAAAAAAAAGAAAGGAATTAAGAATGAATAAGTGATCAAGAAAATAGAAACAAGACAAATACAAAAAGAAAATATTTTTGCAGCTTCTGATTTTTTGGGATAACACTTATAAATGCAAATAAGCAGCAACCCGGTTTGAGACAATATTCAGTCTGAATAAGAGAGGACTTATTGGAGATGTGTTAGCCATAGTTGGGTACATAAATGGAAGCTCCACAGAAGATGGGATGGTAGCTGTTTTCCTTGGCTATGGAAAGGTGACACTACCTAGATTTTCTTCCAAATCTTCCTAAAGATTGTTCTTAGGTTGTTCATAGGTAGACGGTGGAACAGTCTACCTCTGGTGATTTGGGTTCTCCATCTAGGGAGGCTTTGAAGAAGAGGCTATACGCCTGACTCTGGTAGATGATTTAAATTATCTTTGGAGCAGATGATCCTTGTGGCCCTTCCAACTCTACAATTCCAAAAATGGTACCGGGTTTTGCAAGTCTGGACCCTTAAGGTGTCCATGCTGGCAGGTCTGATAGTATGCTGAAAATTTAGCAATAATGGGTGACCAAGATCCTAAGTGGGTGAACTCAGAGACAGAATTGGGACAAACATTCACACAACAACTGCTTTGCTTAGCAACTGAAATTCTGGGCTCACCTTTGGCCATACATTGAGGACTAACGGCACATTGACTTAATAGGTAAATTCCTACTTGAAAGAGGCAGCCAAGCCAAGCGCTTGAGGAAAAGATGTCGCCCAGCCTTGTGCTTCTGCATCTCCACGAAGACATTCTGTGTTCCAGTTGTAGGGCCCAATGCCCAAACGCTCAATAGGTGGGGCCGGCCCATTGCCCTTAGCTCCGCCTCTCGCCATCTGCGAGTAGAAAGCCCATATGGTGAATGGCTAACCATGGTCAGGCCCCCCTCGGATGTGGTTTGATAGAGGAAGACAAGCCAATTGGTCTTCCAAAGCTCTGCTGACCATCAGCCCCAGCAAACCATTCAAGATGCTTCTCGTACCTGCAGGATCATCTCCTTCGGGGTCAGCCTGTTAACCAGGTCGTCCACTCGTTCCTCCCAAGACAATGTGGGATCCCTAAAGGGGAAGTCCCATCCCAAGCAGAGCCCAGCCAACAGCAATGGGGCAGTAAGACGATAAAAAGCCACCATTTTGTCTGCAATTGAGAAAAACAGCAATAGCAATAGCACTTAGACTTATATACCACTTTACAGCCCTAAGCAGGTTTTTTTTTTTGACATATCTTGGAAGTGTCTTAATGCAGGGCTTTTCAACCTTTTCACCCACTGTACCACTTTTAGGATATGGCAACATCCAAGTACCACCAGTCGCCTAGCAAGGTGTCAAAAACTTGATGATCCCGCCCCCCAAAAGGGAAAAAGTGATAAAGTACAGGTAGTCCTCGACTTACAACAGTTCGCTTAATGACTGTTCGAAGTTACAATGGCATTGAAAAAAGTGCCCCCCAAGCCACAGCCGAGCAAGACACCTGCCTGCCCACCCGGTGACGCTCTCTTCCTCCTGTCCGAGGTTTTCATTGTTGTGAGCATTTCTGTTGAGGATTGGCAGTGGGGGTGGGGTGTGGGGGTGTTTGGTTTTTATTCCCCCCCGTCTGCTGGGTGGTTGCAGCAGTTTTGGTCACTTCACATGATCCTGGGACACTGTGACCGTCATAAATATGAATCAGTTGCCAAGCATCTGAATGTAAATCACAAGACCCTAGAGATGCTGCAACATTCCAGCTGATGGGCGCGTCTTCTGGGCTCAGCAGAAGCGCCAGGATCAGCGCCGAGCTCCAGCTGGAGCCTGGCGCTGATTCTGGAACTTCCGCTGAGCCCTGACAGCCCCGAAGAAGCGACGATCAGCTGGAAAGCAGCAGTGATCCTGGCGCTTCTGCTGAGCCCTGACAGCCCTGCAGCTCCAGCCATCTCTCGCTCAGGCTTGTGCGATGCTGCCACCGATTCAGCTCATTCCCCTCCCCTGCTACCACTTTTCTAGGATGGTTGCGTACCACCTACCAGGTGCCAATGTACCACAGGGGGTACCCGTACCACTGGTTGAAAAGCCCTGTCTTAATGTTCCTTCTTCCAAGATGCTCTTCCATTTCCCATTCCGCCTCTCCCCCTGGTAATCCCATCTGATAACTAACCAGTTTCTACATGAAACCTTACAAAAGTCTAAAAATCTTCCAAAGAACCTTCATCCTGGAATGAGTCTTTGATGGTTTATTAAGGAAAACCCACGGGAGATTCAGGAGCAGCTGCATTAATTTTGGGTAGAGTGGCTGAATTCATTTATCCTGTCCCTGGTCCCATGGCTCAAACTAGCTTTTGTTTCTCCACAGCTCATTGAATTAACCACAAATGATTGGCTCTGTACATTATACCATGAAATGTGACTTACAAACCTAGTTCACTAGTTCACAATCAGGCTAAGCCAGAATTAAACCACATGATAACTCTATCCACAGTGCGATCTCAGCTCATTATGCTAACCATGACCAAATGACATAGTTTGCAGTAAACCATAATGGGTTTTTTTGTAAATATTTTATTAATTTTCTATTTTTACAATCAAGTGCTTAATAAACAATGTGATGACTGAGTCCATTAGTGATTCCGTAGTATATGAAAGCTTCTTCAAACTAAATCCGATATTACATCCTCCAGTACATCCTCACTTTCTGGTAATAGATATTTTTCCACACTAAACAAATAAAATTCTTATTGTTGTGAGTAAATATACAATTGCCTATCAACATTTGTTACATTTTTCTAATAGTGGCAATAATATTAGTTTAGAATATCTTTTCTAACCAAAGTATATCTTAATTGCATTTGCACTCAGTATCCATTTATTCAGTCTATATTCTATTTTTGCCTTTTTCAATTTTAATGTCCCATCCATGTTCAAAATAGCCCAATCATTTATAATTTCAGAACAAGTTATATTTGGGTAACCAAAAGCTTCCCTTATTCAAAGTTCTTAGCATGTTCTTATTTCCCTTTTCTTACCAAGATATAATATTCTGATTACAAATCCTATCTATCTAGTTATAATAATACTTCTATCTGTAGCAATCTATTCTTAACCATATTCAAACATCTAATTGGTAATATAACATCCCCTCTAATAGGCCAAAGCTTCTGTTTCCTTCAGTATTACTCTAGCTTTCTTCTTTGGCAACTAACTTTCCAAGTCAGTGCATTTGGATCATCAAATAATTCTTCCTCTATTTTTGTGTATATTATTTGAAACAAGAGAAACAATTTAGTTAAAGTATTTTTGGAAGAACTAGCCCGTTGATATTCATTAAACAGCCTCCCTCCTTCTCCAGTTCCCCACAGTTCTGTTAACAGCTTTATCTTCCATTCCATCAGTTCTCCTTCCTTATTCTCCAGTATGTTCTGAAACCTTGGTTTGTAGAATGTCTTTTCCATTTCCAATATTATCGCTGTGTCTTCTAAGCATTTATCTGAGTCTGGCCGTTAGTTTCTTCCTTTAGATCCTCAATGTTTGTGTCAGCATTCCCTATTTTCCTTCTATTTTCTGGGTTGCTGGTTTCTTCTCTGTAGTTATTTTCTGAGTTTGTAGATTTAAATTAGAAAATTGTTCTTTTATCTCCTTTGTGTTATTTTTAATCTCATTACGAGCTAAAGAAATTGTTTCTTGTATTAATTTCAACATGGAGAGAGAGAGAGAGAGAGAGAAAGAAATTTCCTAACAATTATGTAAAACCACAGTTCGACATGAATCCATAACGTGATTTGTTTTGCGTGTTGCGGGTTGTTTGAATATCCAGCCAATTATGATTTACCCAATAAACCATATAAATCAACCATGGCTTTCTGCAGTGTAAGAACCCAACCTATAATCACTGTGTTCCTTCTGGGCTTAAATGAAACTGTCAATAGCCTGATTCAATCCTTGGAGTGCTGCTAATGTGGTTGCTTCCTGCTTCGGTAACACGTTCTGTACAGAGATAAGATGATGTTGAAAACACAGCGCAGATGATGAAGCAAGAAAAAAGCATTGATAAGGACAGAAGCATATGTTATTAAAAAGATTTAAACTTGAACCCTGGAGCAAAGAACATGGAATTCTGCAACTTTAAAGTATTAGAAAAGTTCTCAGGACCTATGCCTAAACAAGTCAGTGAAATCGTCTTGGGAAAGGAGATTTACATGGGCGTAACGTGAGTATAATATGGATAAACAAGACAAGTGTCTTCTTGAGGTTTCTGGAAAGTCAAAGGCTTACAAGAGAATTCCGCGAAGGTGTCTATGAAATCACAACATAGTCTTCACGGCAAGAGAATGAAGGTAGCTTGCCGTGACTTACTATTACTATCTATTAAAACAGATAACTACCGGTAAGAGTCTTTGGTCCAGTGCAGGGGTAGGCAACCTTGGCTCTTTTATGACTCGTGGACTTCAACTCCCAGAATCCCTGGCTCAGGGATTCTGGGAGTTGAAGTCCACAAGTCATAAAAGGGCCAAGTCTGAAGACCCCTGGACTAGACAAACATTTTATGTTGATCCATGTGACGCCTAATTCTATAAAAAAAAAAAAGCCTTCTCCAAAGTTAAGTGAACTATTTGAAATGGGAGATTTAGATTTTCATCCCCTGTAGCACTCTTGCCACTGCCATACTGAAAGCTATGCCTTCATCAGAAGCAAATTTTTGATGTCAAAGGGAAAGATGACTAATAATAATAATAATAATGATGATGATGATGATGATGATGATGATGTTGGAAGGGACCTTGGAGATCATCTAGTCCAACCCCCTGCTCAGGCAGGAAACCCTACACCATTTTGGACAAATGGCTGTCCAGTCTCTTCTTAAAAACTTCCAGTGTTGGAGCATTCACCGCTTTCTGGAGGCAGGTTGTTCCACTGGTTAATTGTTCTAACTGTCAGGAAGCTTCTCCTTAGTTCTAGGTTGCTTCTCTCCTTGATTAGTTTCCATCCGTTGCTTCTTGTCCTGCCTTCAGGTGCCTTGGAGAATAGTTTGACTGCCTCTTCCTTGTGGCAGCCCCTGAGATATTGGAACACTGCTATCCTGTCCCCCTCATACCCAATTCCAGCAACCGGTTAGCGTCCAGTCCCCTGATCATCTTTGTTGCTCTTTGAACTCTTTATAGAGTCTCAACATCTTTTTTACATCGTGATGACCAAAACCGGATGCAGTGTTCCAAGTGTGGCCTTACACACCTATCTTCTGGGCAACCATAGGAAACTGTGAACAGTGTGGTTGTTCTATGATGCTTTCACTTTTTCTCTCTCTAGTCTGCAGTCCTGAGCGGCCTCTAACCCTTGTGTGGTTTTCGCAGCGCAGCAGCTGAATTACTTCCTACCTGTCACCTTCCAAGAGGCAGCAAAACAAGCCACTTCTCAGCTTTGCAGCCAAATTTATACCTTGGCTTTCCTGGTTGGGTCTTCGACTTCCAGGGCTGGGATTGTGCCCTCTCCCTCCCCCCCAAAGAAGGCTCTTTTCTCCCAGGTTCTGCATCTTTCGCGAACCCAATGGCGTCGGACCTGGTTCGGCGCTCTCCGGCCACGAAAGGTGACCAACCCAAGTTGGTTAAGAGTCGTTGGTGGAAAGAAGGCGAAACAGATCGTTGCTCTCTCGCTCTCTCTTTCTCTCTCCAACCCCCCACGCCCGCTACCTTTCCCCCTTACCTTCTCTCGCGATCCCTCTCTCTCCAGCCGCTTCTGCACCCGGCTGCGTCCCCCCCGCATCTGTCGCAAGCGCACAGTTGTTGCACAACGGCGATCACGAGGCTCCTTCCCCGCCTCCGTAGCCCGGAGGCTCGCGGGACAAGCTGAGCACCGCCGCCCGCAGACAGGGAGCTGCTTCTTTATGCTTACGAAGCTTTTGCACCTCCCCTGGCCGCCCTTCCTCTTTCCTCAGCAAGTTCTGGGCCTCGGGCTTCTGCACACCAGGAAGGGCGGGCGCTGGGGGCGGAGGCGGCAACCCTCTCCCCCCCCCCCCCGAGCTTAAGAAGCCGAACCCAGCCCAGCCGAGCGGAGCCAAGTTGCAGGAGAAACCGTTCGGTCAACTGCTCTTCCCGGCTCCTCCACTAGAGGGCGAGACCTCCCACTCACCTGCCTCATGCTCACCCTGCGTCCTTCAGCGCGCACCTCGGCCAGGTGGGAGCAGGTAGTAATAATAATAATAATAATAATAATAATAATAATAATGATGATGATGATGATGATGATGATGATGATAATAATATAATAATAATAATAATAATAATAATAATAATAATAATAATAATAATAATAATAATAATAATAATAATAAAGAAAGACAAAAAAGTCTGGATAGTGGATGTGGCAGTGCAGAATAGAAGAGAAAGAACTGGAGAAGATAACAAAATACAAAGACCTACAAATAGAAATAGAAAGACTGTGGCAAAAGCAAGCAAGGGTAGTACCAATAGTCATAGGCTCCTTGGGTGCAATCCCAAAACAACTGGAGCGCCACTTGAACACCATTGGCATTGACAAATTCGCTATTAGTCAATTGCAAAAGGTGGCCTTATTAGGAACTGCTTCCATCCTGCGACGATATCTGTAATACCATCAAACATCCACATCTGCCTATCCCAGGTCCTGGGTAAGGAATCGATAGGTAGACAAAATACCAAATCCAGTCTGAACATCTGGCTGACTGTGCGATGATCAATAATAATAATAATAATAATAATAATAATAATAATAATAATAATAACTGGAGGTCATCTAGTCCAACCCCCTGCTCAGGCAGGAAACCCTATACCATTTTGGACAAATGGCTGTCCAGTCTCTTCTTAAAAACTTCCAGTGTTGGAGCGTTCACCGCTTCTGGAGGCAGGTTGTTCCACTGGTTCCTAACTGTCAGGAAGTTTCTCCTTGGTTCTAGGTTGCTTCTCTCCTTGATTAGTTTCCATCCGTTGCTTCTTGTCCGGCCTTCAGGCACTTTGGAGAAAAGCTTGACTCCCTCTTCTTTGGGGCAGCCCCTGAGATATTGGAAGACTGCTATCATGTCCTCCCTCGTCTTCTCTTCATTAAACTAGACATACCCAATTCCAGCAGCCGTTCCTCCAGTAGACTCCAGTCCCCTAATCATCTTTGTTGCTCTTCTCAGTACTCCTTCTAGAGTCTCAACATCTTTTTTACATCGTGGTGACCTAAACTGGATGCCGTATTCCAAGTGTGGCCTTACCAAGGCATTGTAGAATGGTATTAATACTTCACGTGATCTTGATTCTATCCCTCTGTTAATGCAGTCTAGCACTGTGTTGGCCTTTTTGGCAGCTGCAGCACACGGCTGGCTCATATTTAGGTGATTGTCCACTAGGACTCCAAGGTCCCTAACAGTTACTACTATTGAGCAAGGTACTCCTTATACTATACAAGGTAAACTTGCTGAGCCAACTAAAGCGGGCAGGTACGTGAAAGCCAGCTCAGCTCTTGCTGACTTCACAGAGCCGACCAGGCAGTTTTCCTGAGGTGATGTAAAAGAGGGTTGTTGTTTTTTGCTCCACCACTTTTTTTTTAAAAAAAGTCCAGGACTAAAACAAATAATGATCTGATAATAATGAAAATAATCACCCGCTCTTGCGCTCTTTAAGTGGTCTCAGCCAAGCCAGGCCATCTCCTGGGGCTTCTCCTGAGCAGGCAAGGGTGGTGAAGTAATGGCAGGGCTCCTATTGCATCACAACCTGGTGTGTGTCGGCAGAAGGAAAGTCTCTTCTGGAAACTGGTCTTCCTTTTGCCTTCAGCGGATTTTGTCTGCCTTTCATACCTCAAAGCAAGCCTGAGAAATTAAACTGGGCAGGCAAGTTTTTGGGCAATGATGTGATTTCTGGAAGTCTTCCCAACGCTTAACCACAGGCCCACCCTGGGAAGGAAGTGGGTGTGAGAAACAGTAACGCAACGGTGTCTTCCATGTAAATGTTGTAGAGAATTGTCTAACTTAAATCTTTCTCCCTGCGGCTCCCTTTTCGAAACCAGTCAGTCTTGCATCGCTTGCCCTGTCACTGCACATTTGCTCCTGTTTGGTTGGGATTGGCAAACCTGAACATGGATGTTCAGGCAAAAACAAAAACAAAAACAACCATTTGAAGGCACTCTGTGTAATTTTTGCCCAGCCTTCTGTGTTGCATTCCAAAAAGTCCTCCTGGGATCTTTTCTCAGCCTTTGACTGGCTGAGGCTATAGGAGCCTCTGAAATTTCCCTCAATGAGAAGAAGTTGCATGCTATATCCACATACAGCTAGTCCCCGACTTACAACAATTTATTCAGTGACTGACGTTACAGCAGCACTGAAAAATGAACTGGTGACTGGTTTTCCCACGGTCATGGGATCGAAATTCAGGCCCTTGACAACTGGCGTGTATTTATGACAGTTGCACCGTGCTGGGGCTCACGTGATCCCCACGTGCGACCTTCCAGCTGGCTTCTGACAAGCAAAGTCAATGTGGGGTGGTGGTGGTGCCAGATTCACTTAACAGCTGCATGATTCTTTTAACAACTGTGGCCCCCCCAAAAATGTTAGAAAATGGTACACAGCTCACTTAACGACAGGTCTAGCTTGCCAATAGAAGTGTTGGGTTCAATTGTAGTCATAAGTTGAGGACTACCTGTGTATGCTGTGCGGTTATGCTTCTCTCTTTGTGTTGGGTGTACAGGGTGACCTGCATAGTACATGCTATGGTCACAAGAGCAGGAAGAAGAGAACTTAGCCGCTTGCTCTTTCCGCTGGTGTCTCTTTCTCGCTCTTTCTCTCTCTCCCACCCTCTCCCTCTCTTTCTCTTTCTGTATTTTTCTGGCATTTTTTTTCCCTCTGACAAGAGTGAGAAAATCTTTCTTTTGCTGTGCCTTTTCATGCGGCAACTGGATTTCCGTGTTTTTCTTTGCAAAGCTTCTTCAGCTCTGAGTGGATGGTGGGGGATGGATGGATTTATATTCCTTGCAGACAGCTGGTCATTTGCATTTGGTGTCATAAGTGTGAAAAATGTCACTTTTTTCAATCCCCGTTGCAACTTCAGTCACTAAATACAGCATTAACCTTGTGAACTCTCAAGCTTCCTCCTTCCGATATATATTCAAGATGGACAGTATTTAATATTTATTTGCTATGTATATATAGGGGTGTGGGTCTAGACATATGTTGTTCATAGTATGTTTGGGTTTGTGTCATGTGTGTGTTTCACTTTGAGAGTGGGCAACTAAATTTCATTTTTAATGTGTGCCGTTGTGCCCACAGTATAAAAATGACAATAAAGTTTATCTTATCTTATCTTATCTTATCTTATCTTATCTTATCTTATCTTATCTTATCTTATCTTATCTTATCTTACCTTACCTTACCTTACCTTACCTTACCTTCTTATCTTATCTTATCTTATCTTATCATCTTATCTTATCATCATCTTATCTTAAATGAGCTGTTGTAAGTCAGTGTGGTTGTTTTATTGGGGGCTCATCTCTTGGTGCTTTCAGGGTGCACAGAGGGGGCTACCTCATAAGCTCTGGTTCCTGGTTCCTGTGACACAGAAAGTGGGGGGCATCAATGGAGCTGTTGACATCATTCTCAACTGCTGTCCATCTGCCTCTGCAACCACAATGGGCTGGGAGAACTTTCCTGCTGTGGTTTTCTCCAGAACCCTTGGTCAGATCTGTCCTGTTTTTGAACCTGATTTTCCTTGATAACGTTCTTGTTCCATACTAAATTTGTTCTGGTTGTCTTTGATTTTTGGAAAGTTTTCCTGCTGAAACCTAGAGTCCTGACGTCCTTTGTACAATTTCTTTCCAGCATCCTGTTGGGTTGGAAAGATTAAAAGGGCTGAATAGTTTTAGCTCAGATGCCCGTAAGCCCACCCAGGCCAGAGTGATGGTCTTGAACTTGACCTTGGTGCATTGTTTTTCTTTAATCTTAACCGTGCCCACTGCAGGACCCTCTTGGTGAGGAATACCCCTGGCCCCACTTGAGTGGGCAAATTCTCAAAGTGTTTGACACTGGGTGTCAAATAAAAATTTGTGCCTTTTAGCAAAATTTGTTAGCTTGAAAAGGGGCTCCTTCTGAAAGAGAAGAAAACAACTTTAAACAACAATTATGTAAAAATGGCGTTGAGAGACCCATTTGAACATTTTTACTCATTGGAATCTGAGGAGAGCTGGTTGCAGGTGTTTACAGCAGCCCTGGGTAATTTTGCAACATTGCCTATTAAACCAGTCTTGTTATCTGATCTTCTTCTTCTTCTTGTGCCATATCCATTACAAAGGAAATAATTATCGTATAGAATTCATCAGACTGACCTGGAAGGTGCGTCATAACAAAGGGGAAGTGAGGCTTTTTCTGGCTACTGTTGATTTATTTCCTATTTAGTTCTGATTTGCTTCAGGTCTTTAATCAAAAGCATTGCCTGAATCTGTAGCAAAGGGAACCCCCAAATTAACAAAGGGGAACATTTATAGCTCCGAGGAGTCCTTAGTGGTCTCTGAGTTTGGTTGTATGTATGCAGACGTTTCATTAGCCAAACTAGATAACATCATCAGTGAAACTCTGGCAAGAAAAGTCAGATGAGGCAACTCATTTAAGAACCGTTTCGCTTATCAATGGAAATTTGGGGCTGTATGATTGTAAGTTGAGGACTACCTGTATCTAAAGCACTAACAAAGGGACAGTCAAAGCAGCCCTGTTCAACATTCAGCTTGCGTTCGTTCTGTGTCTCAGAGAAATTGCAACCGGCTTCTAAATCCTTCAAAGAGCAGAGAAGCCCTGAATAAGTTCACACATAAGAGGTACTAAAGGCAACACACAACAAACAAACAAACAAACACACACACACACACACACACACACACACACACACAGAGCGAGAGAGCGAAAGAGAGAGAGAGAGAGAGAGAGAGAGAGAGAGATCACAAACTGGAACCCGTACCCAAAGCGAAATAAACGTAGATGGCTGTCATGGTTCCAAAAGTTGAAACTCTTCAAAGAACTTTGAGGCATTGTTTATCTTAAAGAATCTTTAATCGAGCAGCAGAGCTTCGGCATGTACATAGTTGAAACCAAAATCTGAATTCCCCTCCCCTAAACACATAGTATCAAAGCACAAGTCCATCCTCCAATTAACAGTCATAAATCACATTCTCCAATTAGTCTGAAATGCAAACCTTCCCTCCAGTTTCATAACCCCATTCCTTATCGTCTCTTATTTCAAACAACCTTGGAGAATACTCTACTGCAATGTTGTTAGGTCTAACTAATCCCCATACACATTCTTCCCCCTTCCCCCCCACCAGCATCATCTAATTCTAACTCTAAAAGTAACACACAGGTTAAAGAGAAAATGGCTGCATCTCATATATCAGTGGTGGCGAAGCTATGGCACGGGTGCCAGAGGTGGCACTCGGAGCCCCCTCTGTGGGCACACGTGCCATTGCTCCAGCCTTGCCTCCCCCCACAATCCCCTCCTCACCAGCAGCCCCCCTGGAGGAGAGTCGCCCTGGAGCGTGGCCCACACAGAGCAGCGCAGCCAAGGACATGGCAGCCAGGCAGCGTGGACAAGACTCTGACCTCATGCCCCATCGCGCACAGTTGAGGGCAGAGGGCGTGGCCGCCATGGTGCTGCTGGGCTGCCTGGGCGATCTGCAGCGGACCCTGGAGGCAGTGAGTGGCCCTGCGGGCAGGCAGGGTGGGGCGGAGTGGGGGTGGGGCAGGGAGAGGAGCAGGGGCGGGACCAGTTTTTGGGCACTCGGTCTCTAAAAGGTTTGCCATCACTGTCATATATTGTCAAAGCGAGAACGTCCGATGTTAGCAGCGTCGACAATGGCTTTAATTAAAGATCAATTACACCGATCAATGTTGGTTAGGAAACTGGTTGCCTGCCAGTCTGAATTCAAAATAAAGGTACTGTAGTCAGACTGCAACTCATTTGCACGGGAGAAGGCCATTTTTTTCCCCCAAGCTGGCATTTTTTTATTTTATTTTTTTGGGTATGCTGTTAACGCTGCAGATTTCTTCACTTGCTGCCTGCCTGGCTATGAATGCCCTGGCTGAGAAGGAGAGTTGTAATCCTGCACAGTTTGGAAAATACCAGCATGGAGAAGGATGAATTAAATTCTTTGGCAGAGCCTGCGAGTTGCTAGAAGATGGTTGATTGGCTGGCACGTAAGTTGGTTTGAACCGACCTTCTCAATAGATTTTGTGTCATTCTTTGCTACTTCTAAAATACTATCTTTTCTTTCCGACCCCAAATATATATATTTTTTAAAAAAAAAACAGCTTTGAAAGCATATAAGAAACAGTTGCTGGAATTGGGTATGTCTAGTTTAATGAAGAGAAGGACGAGGGGGGACATGATAGCAGTCTTCCAATATCTCAGGGGTTGCCCCAAAGAAGAGGGAGTCAAGCTATTCTCCAGAGCGCCTGAAGGCAGGACAAGAAGCAACGGGTGGAAACTAATCAAGGAGAGAAGCAACCTAGAACTAAGGAGAAACTTCCTGATAGTTAGAACAATTAACCAGTGGAACAACCTGCCTCCAGAAATCGTGGGTGCTCCATTTCTAATCTTCCCAGCCGGCGTCAGACATGCAAAGTCAATAGGGGATGATCATTCTATTCTATTCTATTCTATTCTATTCTATTCTATTCTATTCTATTCTATTCTCTAATTCCAGTGGGGGGGGGAGAGGGGATGGTTCAGCGTGAGTGGCAGGCAAGTGTCTGCACGCACACAGCTCCATTTGCACAAGTGGCAGGCACACCCACACACTGCTCGCACAAATGGAGCTGTGTGTGTGTCCTTGCCCACCACTTCCATAGCCTGGTACTGAGCAGGCTGCGGTTCAGTCATGGGCCACAGCCCGAGGGTTGGGGACCCGTTTTAGATTATTATATTCAGTGCTTGAGCCGAGATGGCGCAATGGTTAGAATGCAGTACTGCAGGCTACTTCTGCTGACTGCCGGCTGCCAGCAGTTCGATCCTGACTGGCTGAAGGTTGACTCAGCCTTCTATCCTTCCGAGGTCAGTAAAAGGAGGACCCAGATTACTGGGGGAAATATGCTGACTCTGTAAACCGCTTAGAGAGGGCTGCAAAGGGCTGTGAAGCGGTATATAAGTCTACGTGATCAGGTTATTGCTATTCAGGAGCTATTCAGAACCTGGCCCACAGTAGGTTTGCAGGACTGGATCCATCAAATAATATACGTCATCCACCTTGAGCTCCAAGGGAAAGAAATGGAAGTCATATAAAAACCCTTGTACACCGGGACCAGCCACAATGCTTATCTCTTAGAAAGGCTTTTCTTCGTAGGTCTTATAGAATCTTAAGTCTGACTGGATTCTGGGAATTGAAGTCCACAAGCCTTAAAGTTGCCAAAGTTGGACATCCTTGGCTTAGCATGCTGGCTGGAAAATCCCTGGAGTTGAAATTCACCCACCTTAAAGTCGCCAACTTTGAAAATCACTCAGATAATATTTTTTTTTAAAAAAGATTAAAAATATATCTAGAATTTACCCTGTAGCTGTCACCCCAAGTGTTCTCCCAGCTCTCTTCAGCAAGAGCGATATAAGCTTTTTTTTTTTTTTACACGTTCTGTTGCTTTTCCATGGTTGATGCTCGCAGGATCATGAGGGAGTGTAATCATGGGCTAATGAGGCAAATCATTCATTACAAGCAAATGTTTTTTATGGTGTCCATCAGGCAGAACCTTCCCAACCAGCTTCCGACAAGGAAAGTCAACAGGGAAAACTGGTTTCGCTTAAAGGCTGCATGATTCGCCAGACGACTGCCATGATCCACTTAACAACTATGATGAAAAATGTCATAAAATTGGGTGTGACTCACGTAGACTTGTGACTTGCTTAGAAATGGAAATTCTTTTTCCAATTGTGGTCACAAGTCAAGGACTATCTGTAGATTCAGGTCTTAGTGACGATACACGGACATTTCCATTTGGTTTTTTCCGCAGCAATATGGAAATTGTTTCCCACTGCTTTTTCTAGGATATTTCCCCCTTTTTCTGTCCAGACTACAATCCTGGAAATGCCTCCCCATCCAGGTGGTGAGGGCTCCACTCTGCTTTTTTAAAAAAATGTCATTCAAGATTTACGGCATCCCAGGATGTGTTCTGGTGTCTTTTTTCCCCTTTCACACCCTTCCCTTCCCTTCCCTTGATTCAGTCCCAAGAACACAACGATATTTACAAAAAGGCAGATTGGTATTTTATTTGATTCCTTTTTACAGTTTTAAAAAAAAGATACTGTGGATAAAATACTTGAATTTTAAAACATTCCCAAGTGTATAAATGTTCAGAATCATAAAATACAGTACAGGTAGACCTCAACTTCTCACAGTTTATTTACAGTAGTGGCCAACATTGTGTAAACCTTTTGGGGAAAGTGTACAGTAAAAATGCCACCTTTGGTTAAGTTTCCACCCCTTTTTCTTCTCATTTCTTTATAACTGTAGCCTTGTGGTCGTATGTTGAGGACTACCTGTACCTCTTTCCCCTGAGAATCATAGACACACAGGTCTAAACAGAAACACCTGCATTAAACAGAGACGCACACACAAAGACACAAATAACCTTGTTCGTCAAGTTGCAGTGTCTTGGAATTCCTGAATTCTGGTGCTAAAAGGTATAACTAGTGCACACTTGGGGCATTTAGAAGAAGGAATTGTGGGGAGACAAGGAATGTTAAGGTCGATGTCACACCCCCAAGCCCCAAATACTTTTATCAACGGAGTGTTACAGTTTTGTGCCTAGTCCTTCTACCTAAATCAAGAACAGGTAATTCTCATTCAGCCCCCAAACCTATTCCTGACCCTTCCAGGGCAGCCCAAAATCACACTGCTATCTTTGGGGAACAAATATTATACAAATGGCAGAACCCTTTCCTTTAGAGACATGCGTTTGCCTCTCCCTTGGACTAATTCTGTATTTCTCAATCTCAGCCACTGTACGATGTGTGGACTTCAACTCCCAGAATTCCTCAGCCGGCGCAGAATTCTGGGAGTTGAAGTCCAGACATCTGAAAATGGATAAAGTTGAGAAACCCAGGCCTAACTGTTTTTTTGCCCCTGAAAGCACCACCACCACCACCACCAACAAAATATTTCCAGATCTCCTGTGAAATTTCCATAATGAACTGGGTCCCATGCAGACTGTTTTTTTTTTTTAATCTACCTAGAAGAGGTTTAGTTCATGATGCAAGGACTTGCAATCGTTCCAAAGGGGATCTCCTCTCCTTCTGCCATGTGACAGATCACAGCATCCCCCCTTGCAGCTGCTCTCTGAAATCCACCGGACGGATCATCATGGTGCTTGCTTTGAGGGTATGGCCGGGCCCTTTCCAGTAGTGCCACTTCATGCCGTTGTATCTAATTGTGGCAGGATTGGGAGGGTAATAGATGCCATTCAGGTTAGAAGGTCCACAAGCATCAAACCACCAGCCTGAAGGAGATGGAGAAAGGGAAAAAAGGAGATATATTTAGGTTTAACAGGATTTGGCCCAAACATCAAAAGAGATGGTTCTCCTAATTTTCTAAGAGATGTTTGCAGAATAGATTGGGTTAAACAAGTTTTGAATCACGTCACTGGTTTGTCCCATGGAGCCCCTCTCTATAGCAGTGATGGCAAACCTTTTAGAGTCCGAGTGCCCAAACTGCAACCCAAAGCCCAGCTATTTATTGCCAGGTGCCAGGTGGGCGTGACTGTGATGGTCATGGCAGATTGGGTGGGTGTGGCCAAGGTGGGCGTGATCACCTCAATGTTGCTCATGAGAGGGACGCCTATGGGGGCCGGACAGGGTTGGGGGAGATCCAGGGGGGTCTCTGGCAGGTGGGGCGATGGGCAGGAGGCTTATCCTGCAGGGAGAGGTGAGGCAAGGCGAGGCAGGGTGGGGGTGCTATTGTTACAGGGAAGATGAGGCAGGGACCGGGGCGGCTGCTGCCTGACACCATCGGCCCCTGCACACAGAGGCCAGCGAGCGCATGGGTGCTGGGATGCATCCAACCATGTGGGATCTCGGCAAGTTAGCGGGCGGCTGGTTGAAGAGGGACGATTGCCATCTCCAGGGCATGGTGCGCGTGCCCACAGAGAGGGCTCTTAGTGCCGTCTCTGGCACGTGTGCCATAGATTCGCCACCACTGCTCCATAGGGTGAGGGAACATAGCTTGATGAGCTAGTGTTTCGGAGTGCACCAGTCTTCCCCAACTCAGCACGATTCTTTGGCATGTGGGACTACAACTGCCCCAATTCCCAACCATCACTGAAGGTGGGAAGACTGGTCTAGCTAGCCTGGGAAATTCCATGTTGGTTTTCACCCAAATTAGTTGGTGGAACAACAATGAGGAGGGCTGGAATTCAAGCTTCAGAGAACTTCTCAACTGCAAAAGAATGTGGCATTTGAGGCAGGAGAGGTGGGTTCTGCTTAACATGGGAGGAGATCCTGTCCCTTCTTTTCAGGATCTGTTTGGGAGGGGGGGGCATGTATCAGAAGCCATGATGATATCTGCAACTGTACAAACCAAGTCCTACTTTGCAGAGCTGCAGACACCATTTTGATTTTTCTTGACACTCCCAACCAATGGCCCTGCTTGGCTAATTCTCAGAAGGATAGGCCTACAGAAGGAGGATCGCCTGCTACCCTCTCATTACCTCCACCTGCCATCTGGGCACATTTGCACGCGCATCGATCATGGTCAGCATCCTTGGTGCTGAAGTCGGTTCCGGAGGGGCTGAGGCTGCTGGTGCGTCCGGCTGTACCACTGTATCTCCTTGCATAAAGTCTGCCGGAGATGGAGCAAAGAAGCTACCATCAACAATAATTCACAATTTGATTCTCCTCTCAGACCCAAAATGCCAAGTGCTTACAGGTAGTTCTCGAACTTATAACTTTCATTTAATGACCGCTGAACAACAGCACTGAAAAAAAGTGACTTACAGTAGTGGCCAAAATTGTGGAAACCTTTTGGGGAAAGTGTAAAATAGAAGTGCTATCTTTGGTTACGTTTCTGCCCACTTTTCTTCTAATTTCTTTATAACTGTAGCCTTGTTCACTTAATAATATTATTTTACATCACTTTCTGGGCGACCAGTCAACTCTTTGCACCATTGCTTTAATTTTATTACATTTTGCACTCACTAAATGAAAGAACACAAAAAACCCCAACCGACTTGATAGCGATCACATAACACACTGACAAATGTCCTTCTCTCAGCTTCAATACATGGCATCAATCAATGAATCCTACTGTGATCTGATTGGCTCATTGGCAAAACAAGATGACACCTGATTGGCTCTCTAAACACTCACGCTCATTGGCTACAATCAGGTGAAGGAAAGCTACCTGATATCAACCTAAGCAAGTTGTGCTTCCTTTGATTATTTGGCTATACCTTTTCATAGAATACAGTACAGATAATTGAACAAACTTTGTTGCATTACATTCTTGATTAAATTATCTTTCCATTGATATATAATTTTATGGTACTACTCCCCCCCAAAAGTGGTGTTATTAGCCATCAAACCTCAAAAATACACTTTTCCCAAAAGGTTTCCACAATTTTGGCCACAACTATATGACTATTGTTCACACATTCAACCATTGCAGTATCCTACACACACACACACACACACACACACACACACACACACACACACACACACAGAGTTGCAAGTTGAAACTGTGCAAGGGTTGGAAACAGTGCTCAAAATCATTCAAGACAGCCCACAGGACATCCATAAAACCCAACCAATTTTGGGGAAATTACCCTTGGCCCAAATCATACAAGATCGCCAAATGATCTTCCTATGTGAGAGTGTATCAGATTTGGAGTATTCTCCAGGTATGACAATTAACCCCCAGAATTCTCAGCAGGGGCTTGAGGAAATTTTAGGAGTTGAAGGTCACACATCTGTTGGGGCAGGATTCCAGGTGTCGACAAACAACTAAGCAAAGAGACCACAGATGTTCCGTGAAAAGGCTCACCGATAGTTCTGCTCCTCGGAGTCTACTTGGAAATGCTCAAAGGCAGAATAAGCCTCATTGTTCTCCCAGTCTTGGAGCTTGATCCGGAGGGAGTAGCGGTTCTGTGTGGTGAGCAAGTGGATGAACTGGTTGCCCAACCAGTACTCTCCAGATGGGGACCCAAAGCCCTGTCAGAAAGCATGAGACGAGATTGAAAAAGCTCTGGTACAAAATATCTTTACTCATTTGTTAAATGTATTAGCCGCCCACTTCACTGTGGGGCTACTCTAGGCTACTTACAATAATAAAAAGGAAGAAAAGAGGGAGAATAGAGGAAGATTTATTTGATGATCTAAAAGCTCTGATATGGAAGCCTAGTTGGCAAAGGAAGAAAACTAGAATAAGGTTGAAAAAAATCGGGGTTTTGATTCATTAGAGGGGATTTTATATTGTCAATTAGGGGGTTAAAGGGAGATGTTGAGATAAGGGGAATTTTAGATTTAAAATAGTTGGAAATCAGTTGAAAATAAGGATTTGATTGGTTTAATATTGAAAAATTAGATCTAAAAGGGAAAAGAAAATTCTAGAGTGTGCAGAAATGGACAGATTGACTTTAAAGATGAAAGAGAAAGAAGACTCAGTGTACTTTAGAACATGGGATAATTTCTATCCATGGCTAGCAAAACGAGTCAGAGAGAAAGGAACGTGATATGTCATTTCGAATATATATTAGCAAGAAGAAGGCTGTTGAGTGATGAATTAACATATTGTTTATGGCAATTAACTATATCTATTATTGTTAGTTAAATACATGTACCCAGACATTATGCTGTTTGTTAAAGATTGAAAATGTTATTTGGAAATACCCCAACCCCAACCCTAACCCAAATCCCAACCCTAATCCTGACCCCATCTTATCCCTATCCCTATAAAAACTAATAAAATCTATACAAAAAGAAAAGAGAAAGATAGAGCCTAGAACCAGCCCGGCTCAGAGTCACAAAAATGTTGATCAAGAAAACACCTGGCAACTTGGCGGGGGTTGAAGAGAAGTCCAGCACTTGCTGTGACCAAGCTCTGTCCCTACTGATTGCAATAGATGGATTTTTCTGAGAAAAATAGGGACAATGCTTCTTGCTCAATCTTCTCCAGTCTTCTCTAGTCTTCAATGTGTAAAAAATCAGTCGGGATCCAATTCATTTTGGGTTCCTCCATCGGGGTAAAGCCAGGGAGACTTAGATCAGTTCTGACCTGTTTGTATTCTTTCCAGGTGCGTTGGAAATCCACAGAGCCATCTCTCCGGTGTTGGATAATGGTCCAGCCTCCTCCACTGGTCTCCATGTCACACAGCACCTGGAAGGATGGCAGAGTCTCCGTGGAAGAGCAGTTTCGGACAGTAAGTAACTGGTTCAGCACAGGGGAAACTCCACTAACTACCACTTTTCTTCCAGATTTAATTTAAAAAAGGACACTGACCAGGACATTTTAGTCTTTAAATGATAAAGACATCTAAACTACCATCTTTTTTCTCCTGTCAATCAACTATGTGCTGGCGTCGTAGGATGAGAAACAGTCCTTCTCTATACTGCGTATATGATACTGGAAGAAGGGGAAGAGAATTTTGATCAGATTGATTTGTTGATAAACATTAATACTCAAATACTGAGATTTGATGACATAGAAGCGACAGTACGGAAACCAGCTTGGTATAGAAAAAAAGCCAGAGTTAGATTTAAAAATGTGATTTAAAATTTTAATTATTGGGTCAAAAAGGCTTTAGAAATTTGGACTGATTGGACAATCTAATTGAGTAAATGAAAGCAGTAAGATAATAATTGGTGTAATAATATGTCTGTCTTAGATACGATACTTAATTTGGTTGAGAATTAAATTTTACTTAACAGGTCGAAATGACTCTCTTTTTTGTTTTTTTTAATCTGTTTATATAGAAAACTATTTTGTAATAGCAGAAGAATTAGAGAGATCTATGATAAGAGAAGAAAGGGTATTAATTAATGATGTATCAAATTAAGAGATGGAATATATGTGAAAATATTAGAATGTTATTCTTGGAATATTATGTGTTTAGAAGGGATACCCAAAATTTTATTAATATGTTTGTTTAAGATCAATTGGAATATTTTAATTGAAATTAGTGGAGCTTAAAAGCAGGAGTCATTTATGTAGATGGAATAGTAGGGATGATTCTGCGGATTGATTGAATTTTAAGAAGAAATAGATTAAACTAAATTTGCTATATTATGTGAGGAAATAGAGGGGGGAATTTTTTAAGGTATTATTTTAGTTAGATATATATTTGTTTTCTGAGGTTTTCATGGGTGTTTGTATGTAGGTCTTTATTCGGGTTTTCTCCCGCATCAAATTGGAAGTGTCTTGGCGACGTTTCGACGAAGTCCCATTCGTCATCTTCAGGCTGGTGTTTTCATATATATATATATATATTTTTTCATATATATATATATGACTTGTTTCGTCTGACGTATGAACCCTGCCTGCCTAGTAGGACAAAGAACATGCACTCACTTTTACAGTGGCCGTAGTATTGGGGAACCGAAGGGTATAGACTCCGCTGGTGGAGAACCCCAATTTGTATGCAGCTGCACAGTCCTTGAAAACCTTCTGCTCATCTGGTAGAGTGAACGAAAGGTCTGTGGGGCGAGATCAAAAGTCAGTTTAAGTACAATTGCCCAGCAAGGGTAGGAAAGTTTATCAATTACATTGTTGTAAGGCTGAATTCTCTCTCTTTGCAATAAAATATCTCTGTGTTAGGGATACCCAGAGACCTGGCAGAGCCAGATGGAAGATTTCCAAGGAACAAAGCAGTTTTTCAAATAGACTCTGAGGAGCCCTGGATTCTAAAGTTTGTCTGCCTGTTTTGGTGAATGAATGAACCTTTATTATCAAAGTATAACATGTATACAGTGAGATTGGCTGAGCCTCCCTCCGTGCCCCCCCCCCACAACTCACAGTGACTTGTTATTGTTGTTGTTAATTGCGAAGTCGTGTCCGACCCATCACGACCCCATGGACAACATTCCTCCAGGCCTTCCTGTCCTCTACCATCTTCTGGAGTCCATTTCAGCTCACGCCTATTGCTTCAGTGACTCCACCCAGCCACCTCATTCTCTGTCGTCCCCTTCTTCTCTTGCCCTCAATCTTTCCCCGCATTAGGCTCTTCTCCAGTGAGTCCTTCCTTCTCATTAGGTGGCCAAAGTCCTTGAGTTTCCACTTCAGGATCTGGCCTTCTAAAGAGCAATCAGGGTTGATCTCCTCTAGGACTGACCGGTTTGATCGCCTTGCTGTCCAGGTGACTCGCAGGAGTCTTCTCCAGCACCAGAGTTCAAAGGCCTCCATTCTTTGGCGCTCAGCCTTTCTTATGGTCCAACTTATGGTCCAACTTATGGTCCACAGTGTATCATAGTGTACCACTTGTAGTCACAGTGACTACAAACCCCCAACTTATTACATCCTGTGAGCTAATTGCACAGCGCGCCGGCCTCATGAGTCTTTCATGCATAAAGTTATGTCCCATTCAAGAGCCTGACAGCCCACGGATAGAAGCTGTTCTTCAGCCTGTTGGTACGGCTGGCTATGTTTCTGTACCTCCTACCCCATGGTAGGAGAGTAAAGAGGTACCAACCAGGGTGTGAGTCATCCCTGAGAATTTTCCTCACTCTACCAAGGCAACGGGCCCTGGCGATGTCATCCAGTGGTGTCAGGGAACAGCCCACGATGTTTTGTGCCGTGCTCACCACCCTCTGTAATACCTTCCTGTCTGCGGCTGTCAAGCCAGCATACCAAACCACAATACAGTGTGTGAGAATGCTTTCAATAGTAGACTGGCAGAAGAAGAAGGTCATGGGTCATCATTCTACCCTGTTCTTCTGCAAGATCCTGAGGAAAGGCCAACAAAGATGGAGTCTTTGTTGGCCTTTCTGGCCACCTGGGCTGTATTAATTTTCCAGGTAAGAAACGGAACGCCCAAGTGACCTGCAACTTGTGAGTTCATCTAGAGCAGTGGTTCTCAACCTGTGGGTCGGGACCCCATTTGGGGTTGAATGACCATTTCACGGGGGTCGCCAAACAACGCAGTCCGCCATTTTTCCCCCCTTTTCCTTAGCTGTGCTACTCCCTTTTATTCTATGGGCTTTTGAAAGCCAATAGAATAGACTCTCTTGAATAGAGTCTAATTCTATTGGCTTTCAAAAGCCAATAGGAATTGTCCAGGCTGTCTCTGCCCTGCTGAGCCTGCCAAAAGTCCCATTCTGCAAACGGTGCTGCACCAGTTGAATAGTCCTCGACTTATGACCGGTTGAGTAGTACTTGACTTACAACCGGTTGGGGGTCACGGCATTAAAAAGGTTGAGAACCACTGATCTAGAGATTTTAGGAAGTATTAAAGTATTAAAGGAGAGAATATTTGTAGCTGAGGGTTGAACTGTGGAGTCCTTGGCGCTCTCTGAGCTTGGCTGTTTTCTTGCAAACGTTTCATTACCCAACCTCTGAAGATATTACCTAGTTGGGTAATGAGACAGCTACAAGAAAACATCCCAGCTCAGACAGCACCAGGGACTCCACATTTTATGAAGTGCTAACAGCGAAGGAAAACCGCTGCACAGTTCTTAGATTTTATAAAGTCTGAGTATCCCTTATCCACATTGTGATGGATTTTTTTTTACACACACCACTTGGACTTCACTTGATTGCTTATTGTCTTGCTTATTCTCACCAGATTTCATATCCTAATTGGGCCAAATGGCCAAGTCTTGCTTAGGGGACGTTACTTACGAGTGCACTGGGACACTAAGCCTATCAAATGCTTCACTGTCTCCGCCAAAGATGCCTGTTGTTTGTGGAGGGCTGTGTTGTTCAGCAAGGCAGCACCCAGGCGTTGCTCCAGATGCCCAACGAGATCCACCTGATTGGAGAGAAGCTTCTGCATTTCCATCTTCTCGGTCCTCAGGCCCTGTAGCTCCTCCTCATGTTGGTTTTCAATAGCCAGCACTTTCTTCTCTAGGAAGCTGAAGAAAAGAGACAATTTATGCTGATTCTCAAACCCAGAGTTGATGCAGCTCTTTGTGTACCAAGAGAAGAGAATATTCGTAGCTCGGGATTGAAACGAGGGGTCCTTGGTGCTCTCTGAGCTTGATTGCTTTCTTGCAGATAGTAATAGTAATAGTAGTAAAGTTGGAAGGGACCTTGGAGGTCATCTAGTCCAACCCCCTGCTCAGGCAGGAAACCCTACACCATTTCGTACAAATGGCTGTCCAGTCTCTTCTTAAAAACTTCCAACGTTGGACCATTCACTGCTTCTGGAGGCAGGTTGTTCCACTGGTTAATTGTTCTAACTGTCAGAAAGTTTCTCCTTAGTTCTAGGTTGCTTCTCTCCTTGGTCAGTTTCCACCCGTTGCTTCTTATCCTGCCTTCAGGTGCTTTGGAAAATAGCTTGATTCCCTCTTCTTTATGGCAGCCCCTGAGATATTGGAATACTGCTATCATGTCCCCCTCGTCCTTCTCTTCATTAAACTAGACATACCCAATTCTAGCAACCGTTCCTTATATGTTTTAGCCTCCAGTCCCCTAATAATCTTTGTTGCTCTTCTCTGTACTCTTTCTAGAGCCTCAACATCTTTTTTACATCGTGGTGACCAAAACTGGATGCAGTATTCCAAGTGTGGCCTTACCAAGGCATTGAAGAGTGGTATTAATACTTCACGTGATCTTGATTCTATCCCTCTGTTAATGCAGCCTAGCACTGTGTTGGCCTTTTTGGCAGCTGTTTCATTATCCAGCTAGGTAACATCCTCAGTGCAGCCAGTGGCACAGCTTGCCTTCAGAAGTTGTGGGTGCCGGACAACCATTTGTCGAAAATGGTTTAGGGTCTCCTGTCTGAGCGGCAGGGGGGGATTGGACTAGATGACCTCCATGGTCCCTTCCAACTCTATTATTCTGTTAGTTCACCACAAGTTTGGGTATGTTGGGTTGGGTTGAGGAAACACTTCCCCACATGATTGGGGCTTATTCAATTAATATTCTATTTTGATAGTTAAAAAAAACTGGGTTTTTTTTAATAGTTTCGATAGGTTAAAAAAAAACTGTTAACAGATCACTGCTGTTTAGAGAAATTGCTTTTGAATGCTATACCTGTCATTTGGAAGAATTATGTAAAGAATTATAATGCTTGCTGGGGAGCAAAGGAAATAATTCGGCACTAGAAAAACAGAGTTACTGTAGATTTATAATCTTGGATTATAGTTTTATGTTCACTTATTGTTATTCCCCTGTCGACTCGGTGGAAAGACTGCTGAATATTTCTTTTCATGGTCAAAGCTCAACTATATATTTAAACTTTACGGTGATATATATATATAAAGCTTTCCATGGAGAGAGAGAAAGAGAGGAGAGAGAGAGAGAGGGAGGGAGGGAGAGAGAGAGGGAGAGAGAGAGAGAGAGAGAGAGAGAGAGAGAGAGAGAGAGAGATCCCCATGAAAAGATCCATATACACAGAGCACAATCCATGTTTAAACAAGCTTTTATATTCCACCACCTTCTTTTGCCTCTTATTCACTGAATAGCATCTACTCAGAAAATGCTATCCCCATCCACTTTATTCTAAGAAAATACACATCTGTATCAGTTTACTCAGAAGAAGGAAAACAGCAATCATAGTCCCTTTTTTTTTGTAGCTCATCTAGGCAAGGTGACATTTATCCGTCCACCAATCCATCCATCCTTCCATCCATCCTTCCATCCATCCATCTATCCATCCACCCACCCACCCACCCAACTCTACTGACTGGTTTTCCAACAGAAATTTCTCCAGCTATGCCTAGAGGTGATGAATTTCCTCTCCGCAAGAAACCAAGACGTTTGTCATCCTTGCAAAGCTGCCCAGATCAGAAAGCGGAGTCCACAAGAAGACGAGATCTAAGTTTTACTGAGACAAGATGTATTAACAGGACTTTGCAAGGCTGGTTGTGATTTTGCTCTTCTCGGTCCTTTACCCCAGTGAGTCAGGGAGAAGACAGTCTGAGTCTCTTCCTAACACCAACATCTTTTCTGGCACTCTTTTTTGGTTTTTGTAATGGTTTCTCAATGTTCCCCTCCTCTCCAGGGCTCTACGATGCCACAACTGCACTAGGATTACACAAATGTGCTTGGATTAAGTGGGCTTCACTCAGTGGTAGGGTTCACCCAGTTCGCACCACTTCAGCAGAACTGGTAGCTAATTTTTTGTTGCCCAGGCCCAGAATGGAATTCCGGAAGCGGCATCCACACAGAGAACCGGTTGTTCACACATTTGAATCCCACCACTCCTTCCTTCCTTCCTTCCTTCCTTCCTTCCTTCCTTCCTTCCTTCCTTCCTTCCTTCCTTCCTTCCTTCCTTCCTCCCTGTGGTGGGATTCAGCCATTTCGCACCAGTTCGGCAGAACCGGTAGCTAATTTGTTGTTGCCCAGGCCCAGAATGGACTTCCGGAAGCAGCATCCACGCAGAGAACCGGTTGTTCACCTGTTTGAATCCCACCACTGGCTTCACTGATTCCTCATGAATTAAACATAAAGCCAAAGAGGACTAACCTGTTTCTCTCCTGGAGTCTGCTGATCTCGTGAGTCTGCAGAAGCAGCTGTTTCTCAAGCTTGTTGGTAGACAGGGAATTTTCCAATACTTGAATTTCCAGGCGGGATGTTTGGTTGAGAACCTGGTTAATAGAAAACCGGGTTACATCAGAGAGCAGAAACAGCAGGGAACATCTCCTGTATCTTTTCTGGACCTTTATGCATCGTGCTCCATCTTCAGGTAGTTTGACTTCAGTTCAGCGTGCGATTTGTAAACCATGACTGATACGCTTCAAATACACTACAGGTAATCCTCAACTTGCGACAGCTCATTTCGTGAGCGTTCAAAGTTACAACCCTGTAAAAAAAGGGACTTACGGCCGTTTTTCACAGTTGTGAACTTGGCAGCGTCCCCATAATCACGTGATCACAGTTCAGACGCTTGGCAACTGGCTCACACTTATGACCGTGGTGGTGTCCCAAGGTCACGTGATCCTCTTCTGCGACCTTCTGACAACCAAAGTCAATGGGGGGAACCAGGTTCACTCAACAACTGGGTTACCAACTTATCACCTGCAGTGATTCCCTTAACCACCGTGCCAAGAAAGGTTATAAAATGAGGCAAAACTCCCTTGACAAATGTCTCACTTAACGAACAGAAATGTGGGGCTCCCTTGTGGTCGTAAGTCAAGGACTACCTGTATGAGCTGAAGTAATTCTGAGACAAACCAAGGATAGCAATCCGAGAGACCTCACTGGTTGAGTGCTTCTTCCAAAGGTCCCTCAGATATTTATGATGGACCACCAACAATCAAGCTGAATCACCTGATAACCTTAATCTGGCTAGCTAGGCCAGGGGTGGGGGCCCTTGGCTCTTTTATGACTTGTGGACTTCAACTCCCAGAATTCCTAGACTTTCCCCTATACCAGGGGTGGGGACCCTTGGCTCTTTTATGACGTGTGGACTTCAACTTCAACTTCCTTGAGTGTGCCTGTTCAAACCCTTTTACCTTTGCAGAAGCTACTCACATTCTTCTTTGCACAACTGAGCAAAGAGCATTTGGGCTGTTGCATTGGCGCCCAACTGAAGCTTCCAAATTGTCATCAGTGGCAGGCCAACATAGAGTATGTGGGTTTTGACTTTGGTTCTTGGTGGTTTAATATGCCACAAGAACCTAGGCTACTTGTCCAGTTGTGCAAATCCAGAAAAGCATGAATTCAGGGACCAGGTCAAACTTGTGATGGAAACCCAGAAATCATATTAAAGCCCAGTTTTGTTTTGGCATAGCTTCGGTAGCCACTGTGATTTGGAGACCAACCTCCCTTCTGGTTGTCATCTCAACTTTGATGTATTCAGTAAGCCAGGGGTCTTCAAACGTGGCCCTTTTATGACCTGTGGACTTCAGCTCCCAGAATTCCTCAGCCAGCGTGCCTGGCTGAGGAATTCTGGGAGTTGAAGTCCACAAGTCATAAAAGGGCCAAGTTTGAAGACCCCTGCAGTAAGCAATGGTGGAGCCATTGTGGTCCTGTAACTTGCCAAGAAATAGCCTTGCTCTAAAAGAAATAATCACCAGGAAAAGGCTCCCAAAAGGAGATCAGCTTACCTGTATCTCTACATCAGTGAGCTTCCGGGTCTGCTCAGCAGTTTGATTCAGGAGGTTGGTCCCAATTTCCAACATGGCTGCCGTGTGGTCCTGTACAGAACTGAAATGGGTCTCTGATATCTCTATTCTCACGTTTTCCTGGATGTAATTTTCCAGCTGAAACGAAGAAGCAATGGGGATTAAAATCTGAGGGCTTGTTACGGAGAAGAGGGGTCAACCTATTCTCCAAAACACCTAAGGACAGGAGAAAGGTAATGGATGGAAGCTTACCAGACACAGATCCAACCTAGAATTAAGAAGAAATTTCCCATCAGCAAGAACAATTAATGGCTTGTCTTCAGAAGTTGTGGGTGCCTCATCACTAGAGGGGTTTATTTAGGAACAGATCGGACAGCCATTTTTCCGAACGGTATAAAATCTCCTGCTTGAGCAGGGGGTTGGACTAGAAGACCTCCAAGGTCCCTTCCAAGTCTGTTATTCTGTATTCCTACTCTGTATTTTGTGTTTTAACTAGGGCTAACCAGCCTGCAAAGCACCTGCATCTATTTTCCTAGATATGTACATTACACAATACCTTTATTTTGGCTTGATTCGTGCATCACCACTATCTTCTGATTGCAAAGTTTCAGCAAAGGGGAGCTTAAGAACTATACCACATGTTTACTATTTTGCAAATCCCTAGACAGTCACTTTCTGAGATGGTATAGGTCAGTAGTGGCGAACCTATGGCACGCATGCCAGAGGCGGCACTCAGAGCCCTCTCTGTGGGCACGCGCGCCGTCACCCCAGCCCCTCCTCCCCTGGCCCCCTCCTCACCAGCAGCCCCCCCAGGAGGAGAGTCACCCCCAGGCGTAGCCTGCGTGGAGCAGCCCAGCCAAGGACATGGCAGCCGAGCAGCGGGGACAAGACTCCGCCCTCACACCCCATCGCACGCAGATGCTACTGTGGCCGTGGAGGCGATAGGTGGCCCTGCGGGTGGGGGAGGGTAGGGGGCAGTGCGACACAAGGGTGGGGCAGTTTTGGGGCACTCGGTCTCTAAAAGGTTCGCCATCACTGGTATAGGTTCCCCTGCTTGAGCAGGGGGCTGGACTAGAAGGCCTCCAAGGGTCCCTTCCAGCTCTAGTCTATTCTATTTTATATCATTCATTTGCTGACTCAGCCAGTTCTGTCCCAGCTGAATTAAGCTTGCCCTCTGGACAAAAGAACAAGGGTTGAGTCAGATAAAGACAGTTGGCATGACCATTTTAAGTTTCCCATTTTATCACCTTGAACATGATAATTCGGAGACAACAGTGGGAGGCCTCCAGGACTATGTCTGTTCCTCCCTTCCTGATCCTGGACAGTTTCTGGATAAGCAGGCGTGACCATGTGCCAACACAGCTGGAGGCTGTTGGGTTGGGCAAGATTGCTTAGTGGAGGGAACAACCCTCTGCCTTTATGCCTCCCTTGGACGTCTTACACTATGACCCTTTTGAAGAAGCAGAAAAGAGACAGAGGATTCTACCATCTTCCCTGCAATTTCCATTTAGTTCCGTGTTTTGCCTCTGACTGCTTTCTTGAAGACCCTTGCCAGCCTCTAGTCAAAATGTGACTTTTTGACAGCATTTGGGGTCAGCTGACAACCCACGGACAACTTTCCTTTCAGCTCGAGTGGGTGTCATTGCCATGTTCGGCTTGTGATCCGGGTCTGTTTTGAAAATGCATCCCTTTCCGTCTTTGGTGGCGTCTTAGACCTTCTCCTGGGGGGGATAGAATAACCAACCTTCCTGATTGAAAGGAAGCTTGATTTATTCACTTGAAACATGCAAATAAACCAGAACAGAGGTGTGCTAGAAGGCGCGTGTACAACAACAAAGTCCAAGATTTGACCCATTGTCCCGAACCCCAAATTGGTTCACCTCTGCCGATACCAGTATTCCTTGACTTACAACAACAGTTGGGATTGAAATTTCCCACGTTAAGTGAGTTCCAGGATTCCAATTCTTGACCTACTTTTTTCGTATTGTGAGAATTAGGTTATGGTGATGCTTCCCCAGCTGGAGCTTCACAGCCATTCAGGCTGGGTCTTTGCATTGTTTGGCGATATAGGGATTGCCTTGGCTTACCAGTAGTAGGCCAGTGTTCTCAACTGTGGCAACTTTAAGAGGGGTGGACTTCAACTAGAATTCCCCAGCCAGCGATATTAACTGGGGAATTTTGGGAGTTGAAGTCCACTCCTTTTAAAGTTGCCAAGATTGAGAATCATAGTAGGCTATTAAAACCCAGCTATGGTAGTTTGTAATTCATATTTTATGGCTTACTCTGATCTGTGATTTCAGCCAGAGGTGTCTTAGTCAGCAAATCGTGACTTTGTACAATGTGTGAATTAAGATAGAATGGCTGGCTGGGCTCACACAGTTCTTTTAAACCTTGTTTTCTCTAACAATGGCTTAGTCAATAATCTACAATTTGATTCACATGACAAACAAAGTTGTAAGCCAGGTTTTCTGAATCACGAAGGTCAAATTCATGCAACTTTTTAAGTCAACTTAAATCGTATTATAGACCACTAGTGCTTTGTATGAATTCAGTCATAATTTGTAAACACAGCTTATATTTTATTATATTGTCAAAACTGCACCATTATGACATTAAACAAATCAACTCAGCATTCTAACTCTTTGGCGGGATTCCTGGAACAGATTACATCCTGATTTGTTCTGGTTTTACTCTATAAACCCATGTATTTTGGTTTGCAAGCCATAATTCAGGGCTTTAGTATACAATGTGAATCCAATGATCTACCAGTTAGTTAATAAATCATGATTAAGGTAAGCACATCAGTCCCTAAAATGGAAGAATGGATGGAAAAAGTAATGGAACTAACAGAGGTGGCAAAATTAACTGTTTTAATGAGAGACAGGAATACATCCAGTATTGTTTCTACTTGGAAGCCATTCTTGGACTTTGTGCTCAAGAAAGAAAAAAAAAATGAAATCTTGACTTTGGGTTTTGCTGATTAAATTAGCTCTTGTTATAGAAATGGATAGTGCTTACTAAATTGGTAAAAGTAAAAAATTGAGGCGGTAATGTTAGTTTGTACTTGACTGTACTGAAAAATGCTGGAAATCAATGCTTTTTTTTTTCTTTTCCCTCTTTTTTTTCTACATCTTTCCTTTTCCTATTTCCTTATCTGTTTTTCTTTGTATTTTATAATATGATAATCTTAATGAAAACCTATGTAGTCTTGCAGATTAAGCCAAACGTGTCTTAACCTAAAGCTGATTTTAAAATGCAAGATTATGCAGGCCATTGAAATGGTTTTCAGAACATTTTCAAAATCCGTAGTCTGGAGGACGAGCAGTAGATACAAAAGCACTCCTAAATATATCAGCCTCTCTTCCTCCTTCTCCTCCTCCTGTTCTTGCCTTTCCTGCCAGCATGTGTGCCTCTGTGCTGATAACTAACCATGTTGTTATTTTAAGAGCAAGAATTCTAATTAAATAATTGGCATGCTGGAAGATGGAAAGACGCTCAGCGTATCCCTGGCAGGAAATTGCTCCCTTCTGCTCTACCATTCAGATATTTTCCAAAGATTTAGGCAGAAGCATCACTGTGTCCACCAGCCTAGGGCTCCCCAAATTGCTTAACTTCTGCCAGTGGATGGAAAGCAAGAGAAAGGGTTTGGTTGTCTGGTTTCCTCCGGGTGTTAATTTCCACGGGTTAAAGGTAGAGAAATGGGAGGGGGGGTTGGAATGGGGATGGGGAATGTGCCACATGTTCTTCCTTGGGGATACGACAGGGCTGTGAGCACAGACAAGATTGATAATCCCCTAAAGAAATAGTACTGCCCCTCCATCACCTACTCATTCATATTATTTTCAGGAGATCTGATGCTGGATTCCAAGAATTGGCAACCCCTGTGGAGCTCATTCCAGCCCTGAACTGGAAGCATGGAAATAGATTTTGCTAAGTCTCCAAAGTACGCTTGTCAAGGTAATGATTTAAAAGCTAACCAGCTGATGTAATGTAGATAGTGTAAGATAAACCACCATATTTTGGTCACCGCAATGTAAAAAAGATGTTGAGACTCTAGAAAGCGTACAGAGAAGAGCATCAAAGATGATTAGGGGACTGGAGGCTAAAACATATGAGAAACGGTTGCTGGAATTGGGTATGTCTAGTTTAATGAAGAGAAGGACGAGGGGGGACATGATAGCAGTCTTCCAGTATCTCAGGGGCTGCCCCAAAGAAGAGGGAGTCAAGCTATTCTCCAAAGTGCCTGAAGGCAGAACAAGAAGCAACGGATGGAAACTAATCAAGGAGAGAAGCAACCTAGAACTAAGGAGAAACTTCCTGACAGTTAGAACAATTAACCAGCGGAACAACCTGCCTCCAGAAGCGGTGAATGCTTCAACACTGGAAGTTTTTAAAAGAGACTGGACAGCCATTTGTCCGAAATGGTGTAGGGTTTCCTGCCTGAGCAGGGGGTTGGACTAGATGACCTCCGAGGTCCCTTCCAACTTTACTATTATTATTATTATTATATGTTTACTGTGTTTACTCCTGGGTTAGCTCAGCGCAATAAGACTGTGCATGCTCTGACAAGGTTGTTCAGACACTGATATAAAAAGGGTGATAAGATCACAGTTTGTTAACACCCATAGATTCCTTGTCCATCTTGGGCTTCAAATCTTCTGAACCCCCCCCCCCAAGATGGGACAAGGAATCTATGGGTCTTAACAATTCCCAGCTTCCTTCCTCTCTGGCTTCACTTCCTAGGAAGTGAACAAGGAAGTTATTTCTAGTGACAAATGGTCCTCGACTTATAACCATTCATTTAGAAACTGTTCACAGTTACGACGGTGCTGGGAAAAAAGTGACGTACGACCAGACCTCGCACTTATGACCGTCATGGGGTCACCATTTGCGACCTTCCCCGCCGGCTTCTGACAAGCCAGGTCAAGGGGAACGATGTGGTTCATTTAACGCCTGCGGCAAAAAGGTTACAAAATCGAGGCTACTCCTGGGATGCCTCGCTTAACGACCACACTGCTTCATGATACATTTTACAGTACCTATCGTGGTCGTAAGTTGAGGACGACCTGTTGTGAGAATCTTTGCAGAGCCCAAATTGTTATGGCAACAAAGTTCAGCAATGACCCACATACTAGAGCTAGAGGCCCTTTGTCTTGTAAATGACGCACAACTCTCTTGCACCTTTGTCACACACCAATCTTGAAGATGCAAAGAATCTTGGCCACCAAAACTATCCAGGCTGACAGCTTTCTGATGCCTCTACCTGGCCCCCACACATCCCCCCAAGCCATAATAGGGTTTGTTGGATAAGACTCCTGCGAGTCCCCTGGACTGCAAGGCGATCAAACCGGTCAGTCCTAGAGGAGATCAACCCCGACTGCTCTTTAGAAGGCCAGATCCTGAAGTTGAAACTCAACTACTTTAGCTACCTAATGAGAAGGAAGGACTCACTGGAGAAGAGCCCTATGCTGGGAAAGATGGAGGGCAAGAGAAGAAGGGGACGACAGAGAAGGAGGTGGCTGGACGGAGTCACTGAAGCAGGAGGTGTGAACTTAAATGGACTCCAGAAGATGGTAGAGGGCAGGAAGGCCTGGAGGAACATTGTCCATGGGGTTGCAATGGGTTGGACACGACTTCACAACTAACAACAACAACAATATACGAACCCCATCATCATTTGTATTTGATGCAGGCATGAGCAATCTCTGTCAAAAATTAATAGTTTGTTTTTTCTGCTATTTAATAGCCTGGGTTTTTCTGCTATTCAGTATTAAAACTGCCAAGAAAATTCCCTTCCAAGTATCAGGGAAAGAAAGGAAGATCCCAGCCCTGATCACTTTTGCGATGATCCCACCCAAGGATCTTGGATCTCTGCTCCTTCCAATGAATTCTCCCCCCTCCCCAACAGCAAAGTCTATTCATTCAAATATATTCCACCTCTGTCTTAATCTGAGGAAGCCAGTCCCTCACGGGTTGTTCAGCCCAAACTGGTCAAAATTAAAGCCATCAGACTTAATGACACAGGGTATTAACAACAACGACAACAACAAGAACCACAACAAGGGTTCTAAGGATCAGAAGTTTGGTTTGAGTCACTCATTGCATTATCAAACCAAAATCTGATTTGCCTGGTTTTAGTTCAGCATACTGCATAAACCCACTCATTAAACCCTATCATTAGAGACAATCTGGTCTAGTAGTTTAAGACACCACGCTAGAAATATGGAGACTGTGAGTACAGAGAAGAGCAACAAAGATGACTAGGGGCCTGGAGGCTAAAACATATAAGGAATGGCTGCTGGAATTGGGTATGAAGAGAAGGACGAGGGGGGAATATCTCAGGGGCTGCCCCAAAGAAGAGGGAGTCAAGCTATTCTCCAAAGCACCTGAAGGCAGGACAAGAAGCAACGGATGGAAACTAATCAAGGAGAGAAGCAACCTAGAACTAAGGGGAAACTTCCTGACAGTGAGAACAATTAACCAGTGGAACAACCTGCCTCCAGAAGCAGTAAATGCTCCAACACTGGAAGTTTTTAAGAAGAGACTGGACAGCCATTTGTCCGAAATGGTGTAGGGTTTCCTGCTTGAGCAGAGAGTTGGATTAGATGACCTCCAAGGTCCCTTCCAACTTTATTATTATTATTATTATTATTATTATTATTATTATTATTATTATTATTATTACTATTATTATTATTTCTAGTCCTGCTTTAAGTATGAAAGCTGACTGGGTGACTTCGGGCCAATCAGCAGGAAAGTGAGTTCTAATCCTGCCTTAGGCATTCTAGCTGGCTGTGTGACTTTGGCTGGAGACTCTCTCTTAGCCCAACTCACCTCACAAGGTTGTTGTTGTGGGGAGTTTTAGGAGAGGAAGGAATATTAGGTAAGTTTGCCTGCCTTGAGTTACTTATAAAGTTGGGATGACAGAGTTGGAAGGGACCTTGGAGGTCATCTAGTCCAACCCCCTGCTCAAGCAGGAAACCCTATTCCATTTCAGACAAATGCTTGTCTGATCTCTTCTTTAAAGCCTCCAGCTTTGGAGCATCCCCAACGTCTGGAGGCAAGTCGTTCCACTGATTAATTCTGTATAAAAATCTAATAAAGTCAATACATAAATAAATTAAAATGTCTTAGTCCTGATTTCACCTGTTGGTTCACTAACTCATTTGCCATTTGGTTTGCAATGGTTCTGCACAGCATCTTAAGACATAAATCCTTACAAACCGTAACGGCAGCACTCAGAATACGTTAAACCACAGGCAAGCTGCTGTTAAACCTGCAGAACAATGGGCCGGCCACGCTGGGCACTTTTCACAGCCTGTTGCTTTTTTTGTTTTGTTTTTTGCAAGGCTTCAGTGCAGTATAGAGGAAGGATCGCTTCCTCTACATCTGTCTGTCTGTCTGTCTTCTTTCCCTGGGCCACTTGGATCCTGTTGCCAAGAAGACAGCAGAGCCCAGTCAAGCCATCCAGAGACCTTCACCAAAGGAAGATCTTACCTTAGATACTACAGACCCCAACCACTGAAAGCCATACCTGCATTCCAACAAGCAAGGTAAACCCTGGTTGTAATGTATCCATTTTTTGGACATTGGATCAGGCCATGAACTTTTCTGACTTCACACCATATTCTGACTCTTCCACACATATCCCCAACTATGTCAGCTGAATGCAGTCAATGTACAGTACACACCGAACACCGGGGGGGGGGGGAGGAGAGGGAGAGAGAGAGACTGAGGGAGAGAGAGAGAGAGGAGAGAGACAGAAGGGAGGGAGAGAGAGGAGAGAGAGGGAAAGAGGAGAGAGGAGAGAGAGAAGGGAGGGAGAGAGAGGAGAGACAGAAGGGAGGGAGACAGAGGGAGGGGGAGAGGAGAGGGAGGGAGAGAGAGACAGAGAAGGGAGGGAGAGAGACGGAGGGGGAGAGAGGGAGGGAGAGAGGAGAGAGAGAAGGGAGGGAGAGAGAGGAGAGACAGAAGGGAGGGAGAGAGAGAGGGAGGGGGAGAGGAGAGGGAGGGAGAGAGAGGAGAGAGACAGAGAAGGGAGGGAGAGAGACGGAGGGGGAGAGGAGAGAGAGGGAGAGGAGAGAGGGAGGGAGGGAGGAGAGAGAGAAGGGAGGGAGAGAGAGGAGAGACAGAAGGGAGGGAGAGAGAGGAGAGAGACGCAGAAGGGAGAGAGGGAGGGAGAGGAGAGGGGGAGAAAGAGGAGAGGGAGGGAGAGAGAGAGAAGGGAGGGAGAGAGGGACAGAGGAGAGACAGAAGGAGGGAGGGAGAGAGGAGAGAGACAGAAGGGAGAGAGAGACAGAGAGACCGGGAGAGAGAGAGAGTAGAGGGAGGGAGAGAGGAGAGAGAAGGGGAGAGGAGAGAGAGACCAAGGGAGAGAGGAGGGAGAGACGGAGAGGGAGGGGGAGAGAGAGAGGAGAGAGACAGAGAGCGCGAGAGAGCACTTGTCCCAGCCCCAATCCCCAGGGGCCGATCCCTGCAGCTTTTGCCCAGCTCCTTCGCCCCCAGCACCCTCGCCTCCCTCCTCCTCACCTTCTGCAGCCACTGGGTGTTGTTCTCCATGACGGTCTCCAGCTGTTGCAACCGCTGGACGGGCCACTGGGCTTCGGCCAAGGATGGCGCATCCCTCTGGAGCGAGTTGGAGACTTGGAACCGGGCGGCAGCCGCAGGAGCGGCCGCGGGCTCGCAGCCCCCCAGCTCGGGCAGCAGGAAGGTGTAGGTGCAGGACCCGTGTTGCAGGCGGTGCTGAGGGCGCTCCGGAGCCCCCTTGCCCAGCACCCCCGGCCGCATCCCTGCCCAGGCGGGCAGCAAGAGATACGCCAGGACCCGCCAGCTTCCCATCCTGACCTTCCTCGGCGGGACTTGGCAGCAAACTCCGCCGGGCGTGCGCGGGGCTCGGAGCTGCCTTCCGGCTGAGAAGTCCGGACGCCCCGCGGTCTCTGGCTCCCCGCCTCCTGTGGGCAACGGGGGTGGGGGCGGTTGGAGCCCTCCCACCCTCTTGGGCCTGCGCCTCTTTCCGCCCCCCTCCGTCCTTTGCCCCCCTGCTGGCTTGGGGAAGCCCGCCCGGGTCGCTTTGCTGAGCGACTCGAGCCAGACCCGCTTTGCAGAAGGTCGTCTGAGCGCCGGAACACGCGAGTCAACAGCCCCCGGGACCTTCCCGCCTTGCTCCAGCTAGACTAGGGTGCCGGGCAGGCTGGATCCCGATCAGGAACCGCCCCGAGAAGTCAGGATGTGCCTGCGCGGAAACTTTCCGGAGTTTGGGGGAGGCGAAGGAGAAATTGGAGAGCCCTCCTCCCCCCCCCCCATCAGAAAGGACGGGGGTGGGTGAGAAACCTGGACGGTCAACCCTTAATATTTGTAAGCATTTCCACCAGTCCTTAGGGCCGCCACGTAGGAAGTCTTACCAGCTCCCTTAAAGTCAATTGGACCACAACGTTCAACTTCTATGACGGTTGCTCAGCTCTCAGCAGCATCCTCAGGACACCTGGAGCTCAGCAGGTCTGGACCTGTTTTAATGCTTGGATGGGAAACTTCCTCGCCTGCAAGGCTAGGAAGTTGAAAAGAAACTTTCCAGACATAGGTGATGACAAACCATCTGCACAGCTGCCAAAATAATAGTAATAGTAATAGTAATAATCAACCCTATGTGGGTCTTTCATGTAGGATTTGAGCTTGACTACACAAATTTAAACAAGATTGGATTACTTTTTCCAAAACCAATGCAATATGTGGTCCAGACTCTCAGAAGCTGTTGAAAACCATGCCTGAAATGCTGAGGATAAAAAGTGCCATTTAATCACTATCCTGCTCTCAACTGCTGTAGGATTTGGGATTTTTTTTTTTTTTTTAAAAAGAGAGAATAAAATAAATGGCTTACACCTTCCAGCCATACTCTTATTTCACGAGGAGGCTATTAGTTTAAGCATAGACCCCCCCCCCACATCCCAGCAGTTCCTAGGAGAGGTGGTGCTGCACAGCTGCCAAGCCCCCCTTTCTACTTGAAAGACCTGCAAAAGCAGCTGAGCTCAAGAGATGAGAAGTGGGAGAAGGTCAAATTCCCAAAATGGGGAGAGGGACTCCTCACAAGCTCTACCAGAGGGCTGCAAGGAATATACCAGTTGTACAGGTAATCTTGAATTACGAATTATGAATTCTGACTGCAGTTGAGCCCAAAGTTTCTGTTGAAAAAAGAATAGAACAGAATAGAAAATAGAATAGAATAGAAAATAGAACAGAACAGAATAGAAATAAGAATAGAATAGAAATAAGAATATAATAGAATAGAAAATAGAATAGAAATAAAAACAGAACAAAATAGAATAGAAAGAATAGAATAAAAAATAGAATAGAAAATAGAATAGAATAGAATAGAATAGACTTTATTGTCACTTTAAATGTACACTAATTGGCATACATTAAAATGAAATTTCATTGCATACAGCTCTCAAAGGGTCACCACCTCCAATATACATTACATAAATGTGACAAAAAATAAAAATTAAAATTGTTTTTGCATATGTCCACATACCCACATATATTCTATGACAGTGATGGCGAACCTTTTAGAGACCGAGTGCCCAAAATGCAACCCAAAACCCACTTATGTATTGTTGGGTGCCGGGTGGGCGTAGCCTATTGGGTGGGTGTGTCCAATTGGGTGGGCATGGCTGCGGTGGTAACTAGACTGAATGGTACTAAAAACTTCAATCAATAAATTCCAATTTTGCGAGATCTTTTTTTCCCGCAAGAAGTTGAAATTGACTGATTGATTGAACCTTTTTTTTTTTTTTTGCACACGGAGGCGGAGGCCTAAAGCGAAAAGGTTTTATAAAACCCAGCTGAGGGACTAGGACTAGGACGACGGCGCGTGTGCCCAGAGAGAGGGCCCTGAGTGCCGCCTCTGGCACCCGTGCCATAGGTTCGCCACCACGGTTCTATGACATAGAGTACAACTGCAGTGATTTGCTTAACAGCCATGATAAAAAAAGGTCATAGAATGGGAGTGACTTTCTTAACAACTGCTTTGCTTAGCAACAGAAATTCTGGTCCCCATTGTGATTGTAAGTTGAAGTTGTATTCCCCAGCATCTGACTTGTTTCCCTCAAGTCAGGTTGACCAAATCACGAATCTGCGTAGAGCAGTTTCTCATCTTTGGCTGGCTGAAGAATTCTGGGAGTTGAAGTCCCCCCATCTGAAAGTCACCAAGGTTGAGAATAAACTGGCCTGGGAAAATGACATTGGAAGGGAATCCTAAGCATATTAAATGAATTTGTCATTTGCTCAGTGTTCCTGCTGTCAAAATATATTTTAACCTATGAAATGTTGTCAAGTGTCAGGGATGTGCCTTTGGAGTGTGGGTGAGTTCAGTGGTGAGATTCAGCCAGTTCACACCGGTTTGGTAGCTACATTTTGTGGAGTTCGGAGAACCGGCTGAACCCATGCTGCTTCGGTGTTTCTCAGATTTTGGCTTGAGATGAAGGGTTATAAGGGCAGGCTTTCCAAAGTCAGAACTACAAAAGAAAAAAAAAGATGAATTGTGTGGAATGATCTCACCTGGGACAAGAACCAAGAGCTGCAAAAAGCAGCATATTCTTCTCTCCTTCTTGAAACATAACTCCAAGGACATCAACAAGAGGAGGGTCAAAAAAATCAAGGTGGTGATCAAGATCTTATGGTCGCAGTCACCATCTTGAATTTGTATCTACACCTATAGACCCCCTTGAATCATACCATTACTAAGCAGATTGCATAATCATCCAACACCAATTACCCAGTGACCCCACAGCTGATGGGGCGACAAACTGGGTCTCACTAACACCAAGAGGTTGTTGATGAAAGATGTTGAAATTGACAGGGGTGCCCTGTAATTTGTAAGAGACTTTGGTGATGTCTCCCAGGCCTAGAACGGCCTGCTGGAAGTGCGTGGATGTCACTTCTGGAAGTCCGTTCTAGGCCTGGTGGAGGCCTCCAGGCCTAGAACAGCCCGCCGGAAGTGCGTGGATGTCACTTTCAGAAGTCCATTCTAGGTTTCGGAGGCCTGGAGGAGGCGTCCCAGGCCTAGAACAGCCCACAGGAAGTGCATGGATGTCACTTCCGGAAGTCTATTCTAGGCTTCAGAGGTCCGAGCCTGCATCCACGCAGAGAACCGGATGTTCAGGTATTTGAATCCCACCACTGGGTGAGTTGCACAGACATCTCCACAGTAAATCTTCATATTTTCTGCATAATTATTCAATAGCACGTCCATATTAACCTTCTGGCTGGATAAAGGAGCCATACCATGCTATAATATCATTTGGCTTGGGATTATGGCTTATCTGTAAATCCTACCCCTCTGGTTTGTAAATGAGGCTTTTGATTTATTTTTGGTCTTTGGGGGTGGCTAACAGTTAATAAAATGCCATATATTCCAATTCAGTTTAATTGTAGTCATAGACCAGTAGAGAAAATAAACAGAATAAAGCTTAAGACAGAATTAAAATACATTTATAAACTAATCTAACATCTATATGTGAGGTCCAGGATGTAGCCTCTACTATATCAAAATGAAAACATTAAAATTATATTAAATATGATAACATCTAAAATTACATCAAAGTAACAGTATCTAAAACAATTAGTATCAACAAAGTAAAAGTATCTAACATTACAACGAAGTATAATTGCAAAGAATGCATTGGGGAAGATTAAATGCCAAATAAAATAAACCCCTCTCCCAAACAATTAAGATTTAAAACCTATACTAACTACTCATCTAATAAACGAAGAACATCCCATGGGCTTCTGCTAATCTTGTAACCCTATGCCGGGAAATAATGTTGTCTGAATGCATTCAGTTAGGGCTTTTTTAAAATCAAACCATAGTTTAGGGCAAAGGGTGAAATCAGTCATTTGGTACTTATGACACTTCTTAAGACACTCTGCATGAAAACAAGTCGGAGTCCTTGCTGAGTAAATATCGTGAACTGGAAGAGTTTCCACTTGAAATTAGATTTCTAAATTGCATTCTTTGAGTACAATCTGTTTACTTAGAAAAATGTTTTAGAAGCAAAGCCAAAGATACTCTCTTTTTTTCTTGTGAAAGTCAATCTGGACTTATTAATTCCAGTAAATATTTATGGCTCCAACCATGGAATTTCATATGGATTGGAATTCCCTTCCTTCCTTGCTTCTTTTCTTATTTCTTTACTCAAGAAAATTGCAGACTTTTTGGCCTGGGGAAGTGACATCTGCTTTAGTCATGTCTGGCTTATTTTTTAATCTTAATTATGGGGAAAGAAGAGACCTGGGTTCAACCCACTTAGGAGTTTCTGGAACAAGAGTTTAAAAAATAAGATGTACCCATGAGTGGGTGACCAAAACTCTACCATGTGTTACTAGACATGTAAAAAAAAAGATGGGGCTGTCCATTGGGCAATCAAAGGCATCTTCTTGACTTCTTCTATTTCCATCCATCGATGCTTCTGAATTCCACCTTCAGTCATGGAAATTCACTAGGGGTTATTTTCCAGTTGGGTCTTATTTTTTGGGAAATACGGTAATTGCTTCTCCAACTCTTTCGATGGTTTTGTCTTTCTTTCAGATGTTCCCCAAGGACATCACCAAAGTCTCTTACAAATTACAGGGCACCCCTGTCAATTTCAACATCTTTCATCAACGACCTCTTGGTGTTAGTGAGACCCAGTTTGTCGCCCCACTCAGCTGTGGGGTCACTGGGTAATTGGTGTTGGATGATTATGCAATCGGCTTAGTAATGGTATGATTCAAGGGGGTCTATAGGTGTAGATACAAATTCAAGATGGTGACTGCGACCATAAGATCTTGATCACCACCTTGATTTTTTTGACCCTCCTCTTGTTGATGTCCTTGGAGTTATGTTTCAAGAAGGAGAGAAGAATATGCTGCTTTTTGCAGCTCTTGGTTCTTGTCCCAGGTGAGATCATTCCACACAATTCATCTTTTTTTTTTCTTTTGTAGTTCTGACTTTGGAAAGCCTGCCCTTATAACCCTTCATCTCAAGCCAAAATCTGAGAAACACCGAAGGCGTCAAGTACACAAAACCCCTTGTTGGCTTGGGTGGACTATAAAAAAAAGAGAGTGGGGTGGAATGGAATTTTAATTTTAAACCAAATGACAGGCAAGGTCTACCTTTTGACTGGGGCCAAACCACAAGGCCAAGTAGTGTAGGAAATCCATGCTTTGCATCTGGATTCTTTCAGACTGGGGATTTCCAATGATGTGATGTACGTGAGGTGTGCTGAGCTAAAGGATGGTTGGAACATAATATACATTATAGCATTATAATTGTTAATTATTGTCTTCTGTTCAATCATGTCCAATTTTTGAAGACTGCAGGATACGTCCTTGTAGTTTTCTTGGCAAGATTTCCGAAGCGGTTTGCCATTATCTGCTTCCTGGGGCTGAGATAGAAAGTGACTGGTCCAAGGTTACCCAGTCAGCTTTGTGCCTTAAGGGAAAGACTAGAAATTAGGGTTTCCTGGTTTCTAACCTGATGCCTTTTCCACTACACCAAATTAGCTGTCTGGTATTAATGACACAGTATTAATTATAGAACAGGAGTGTTGTAGGTGTGTCATGCCAGTGTCCTGCAAAATGTTAGCTATTCTTCACAAATAGATGGAAAAGGACTGGTTTCTGTTCAAACCATCACCTATGACATGGCAATGTTTTATTGAATAGTTCAGCAGCCTGACATGTACAAGCAGGAGGAGGAGGAGGAGGAGGAGGAGAAGAAGAAGAGGAGGAGGAGGAGGAGGAAGAAGAAGAAGGAGGAGGAGGAGGAGAGGAGGAAGAAGAAGAGGAAGAAGAAGAAGAAGAAGAAGAAGAAAAAGAAGAAGAAGAAGAAGAAGAAGAAGAAGAAGAAGAAGAAGAAGAAGAAGAAGAAGAAGAAGAAGAAGAAGAAGAAGAAGAAGAAGAAGAAGAAGGAAGAATACATTTATTTATAAAAATGCTTCTAGTCTGAAAGTAAAATATAGGTCACAATTCTTCTATTGTTACTTTGACTTTTTCCTGGATAAATTATACAAATCTGAGAAACAACAGTGTTGTTCCTTGGACTGATTTTTTTTACTGTTAGAGAAATCTGACAGCCTCAAATCCTTAAGAGGCACTTCCATGCCTCTCTTGCGAAGTTCTTGAACAACTCATAAATACATACAGAAGCCTCCTGGAGAAATCTCACTAAGTTTCATTAATCTGGAAGAATCCATGTGAGATCT